ATTATTAATTAATTTAATTAAATTATTTACATTTTTAATATTTTTTATAAATACAAATATGACTAGGGTCACTCTAAAATGTAGTTTTATTGAATTTTGCAACAAATTGGTATGACTCGAAATAAAAAACAATTTTTTGTACGTTTCTAAATGCATGTAATTTGAGATTTAAAACCATACTTTTTAATGTCAACTTGAAGGCCCGTTATTGAACAACTAGTGTTACCATTGGCAACATGAAATCAACAAGCATTGACTATACACGCGGAAGAGTATTCGGGTGGAAGAGAAAGAGAGAGAGAGAGAGAGACGCATAGATTGCGTGACACAATGTGACGTAAAATCTAGATCCATCATCACGTTGTCATTTCGTAATTGTCCTCAAACTCAACTTGTATGAGAATAATTATCTCTTGTTTCATTTGTTCATACGCGCATACTTCTCTACATGCCTTTAATTACTGTCACTCCGAATCAGTTGATCTGTTATTCAATTAAATCCCTCAAATATCATTATAATAGTAATGTAATACAAGTGGAAAAGGAATGATTTTTTATTATTATTTAAAACAAGCATCTTGACTTGACAAATAGTGTTGATATTCACAGAAGTAACTTTTCATCAGTTTTCTTTTCTCTTTGGTGGTCGATTTAGAAATACATACTATTTTCAAAGAAATGAACTAAAGACCTAAACGGCTGCAAGATTAAATGACAGCAGGTAGAGAGATTTTCTCTTCCCTTTGGAATGTTTTGTAGCATTTTTCTTCTTATTCTTTTTCCCACGCCCCCTGCTCTTTAAAAGCTAAGATGTACGTAAATATATATATTTTCTTAAAAAAACCAAGTTTATTACCTTTGGTTTAAATTCCTCAGCAGTGGAATATCTCATCATCTATTACATTTATGTTGCTTGTAATATCATTAATGACAATTATGTATTTAGATAAAAATTCGGAAAATTTTATTTTTAATTCATTCTAAAGACAAATATAAATTATAAGGGATATACTGACATAAATTCCATTTTACTTGGAAATTCCTTTTTCAAATGACAATAACACTAAGATTTATTTAATGAAAAACTACAAATTTTCATTTTTTATATACATAGTCACTAAAAAAAAATTATTCTAACAATTAAAGAATTGTTTTTTTTTTGTCAATAATTAATGCAAACCCATGTCTTTATTTAATTAAAATAACTTATTTGCATTGGACAAATATTTTTTTTGGTTTTCTAATAAAAATATGGATATGTTGATTCATAATAACTCAGTCACGAGATGATGATTTTTAAAAATACTATTATTTATTAAAATACTTATTTTTTACTTCCTATTAGAAAGATGTTGTAATGAAATTCGTAATTTTGTCATTTCTTTACATTTTGAGACAATTAAAAATACATCAACAGATTTAAAAATGGAGATATCGACTCCAGACTAATTTCAATTAAAAGATAATACATTGAAAAAGATCGGGGAGATCTAAAACAATTTTATATTGTTTATAATAATTTTAATTCGTTATAAGTAATTTTTTTCAAAATAATAGTGATGTAGCAAAATTATGAATTTCAATGAATATATAAGATGTAGATAAAATTTTCATAAAATGAAAAAAAAAAACATAACAATAAGCGATTAATGGGCGTTGGAATTTGTTTTCAGAAGTTTTGTTTTTTTTTTTAATGTACGAGAAAGCGTGATAACGAATTTTTTAAATTCATAAATACAAACAATACAGCTCAGAAGTTTATTCTAGCAAATCCGTAGTGTTCAAACAGAACGAGAAAATGAAGGAGGAAATCAGGTCGATTGCTAGTCGCGATTTGTAATCTATTTTCATCAGTAGACATAATCGAATAGAGAAGAGTGAAATAGACCACCGAATGACCATTTACAGTTCTCTATATTGAGAACATAAGAGCTTTGTTAAACTCTAATATGTCATCTACCTTTTGTTCATTTCAAAAATAATATTACTTTAAATGAAATTTTTTTATTTCCTCAATATTATTGAACCTTTATAAATTTATTTATCAATACAAATATATTGTAAAGATTATTTCTTTAATTTTAATCAAAGGCAAAAGAGTTGAATAGAATTTTTATTTTATTGGAGAGAGAGAAAACTTTTATATCTTCTCAGAAGAATAGAGTTTTGTAGTAAGGAAAAAATAATGAGTTATAAATGATTACCAATTTATCTTGAGACTCTTAATCAGCTATTCCTTCCTTTGTTTTTTATCCAATTTAACTTTCTCATCTTACCATTTCTATAGGAATATCAAGAACGAATTAATTATTCCAGCAAGAAATTGAGTTTTGATTCGTTTAATGATATCATGTCCTTGAAACTTGGCTTTTTAAATGTAACCACCGTGAGATCATTGTTTCTATTTAATTTAATTCTCACGATATTTTTAAAAGCATCAGATATAAATGAAATATCGATAGATCTATTCAATTTTTTTTTTTTACCTATCCTTGAAAAGTAAATACATTTTTTTTTTTAACAATATTTGTTGCTGACAATTATTCATAAGTGTCATGTCAAATTGAATAGGAAACTGTCTAAATAATTTATATACAAATAAATATATCTCTCCAATACACCAATATATTTCCAATAAATTATTACATTTAATCATTAATTTTTATCTTCTAAAAAAATTTTCATTTTAATTTCGTTATCAATAAATGTAGTCAATTATTTTAAAAGCAAAGATATGTTTTTTTTTTTAATTAAAAAATATATCAATACCTATGGGTTAATTTAAAAATTAAGCATTTAATTAAAAAATTTCATCAAAGGAGTATTTTTTTAATATAAAAAATATTTAAGACTCAAAAATCAACATCCTTTGTAATATTCCTTGACACACACTAGTGAAATGTAAATATTAGTGTTCTAAAATGAACCTTATAATAATGAATAAAGCTTATTGGTGCATGTCATTTGTGATATTGAATCGACTTGAAATTAATTCACTCACTCCTGTCTAAGATATTCACTTTTTTCTCCGATATTCGATACGGAATTTAATAAAATCCAAGAGAGTATTTTCTTGAGTATTTGAATCGAACGAGAGATCCCTTGGTGTCGTATTGCAAATAGATTTTTTTTTGATTCAAAAAATAAAGAAAAAGTGCACTTCATGTATATATAAGACTCATTTTAAAGTCGTCTACTGAAGAAAGATTTTAAATCGCTGATTGCCAACGAATTTTACCTTTTTTTTTAAAACTATTTCTTTCATTTTTAAAACTTTTGAAGCATGTTACCTTTCCTGACATTTTCATTTGATGTCATCGTTCCCTTTATGTAGTTCCGATTCTGAAGCGAATTGTTCTGTATAGGTGACAAACGTCGACCTTAAAGTGCGACGATCCGTGCTTCCTTACGCTTCCTTGATATCACCCTATTTCCAACCTTACCAAAGGATACATTGATATGTACCAAAGGAGGAATAAATTCAAGGGTTACGGGGGATGTGCTACATATATACCCAAGTAATATGCATAGTTATAAAAGTATCTATATGTATTATTATTATTATTATTATTATCATCAAGAGCCTTGACTCAAGATTAGTATTCGAATGAATTTCATATTATATGCAGACAAGTCAGACATTTCAAAATACCTATTTCATTTATTGCTTAATTGATAGCTGACAGCATGTTCTGATAAATGAACATCAAACTTGATAGAAATTAAAAGACTTGATGAAGATAGATAACATAAATACTTTTCAAATTTTTTGTTACGTTTAATTAAAGAATAAAAATTTTTTTTTTATGTTTATTGTCAATAATTCATAGTATTTTTTTTTTGTAATAAATAGGTTTTTTTTTTTATTTTCTATGAAATAACCACTATTTTCCTTGTACTAGAAAAATCACCAACTTAAAGAAATAATGGAATTGATTGTTTTGATTCTTGAGAAATTAAAAAAAAAAAATTTTAAGAAATGAGAAGAAATATAGTTTACACTTTGAAAATGCATTATTTATGCTTCACTATGTGTGTCTTTTTCTAATGCACGGTGCTTCGTATAGCACTGTCTCGCTCAGATACATAGAAACACAAAAGTGCATAAAAAAAATAGCAGAAAAAAAGATCTCGCTTTCGTTTTTAGGCAATTTTTTTCAGTGTATAATGAGAAATATTTTACCGTTGGAAAATTAAAAATTGCTCATATAACAAAAAATGTGCTCACAAATGAAATATACTTTATTGAAAATAAAATTATTTTTTATTCATTCCCAAGTTTATTATCAATTAATCATCACCCTGTATTTGTGGAAGAAATCAATTATTTAAATGTTAAAAAAAAGGAAATGAATAAATTTCTTATTTAGATGAAATAAAACAATAAAAAATGGAATTTAAATATATTTTACTCCGTTATAATAACAATTTCCTTTTTAAAATCTCTCTATATATTTTATGAATATTTATGTAAATCAATCCAAGGATTATTAATAAATAAAAATTTTATTTCTTACATTAATCGCCAATGAATTTCATGAACCATAAATAAGCGGTTTCTCTGATTTTTATTCACCTCTAAAAATTTAACGTTAAAATATATATCTGTCCACTTTAGGTTCAATTACTGCTCGTATTTATGCACTTGGTTTACAGTTATTATCGTTTTTACAATAAAATTAACACATAAAAAATATATATATTTAAAAGTTAGTATGTAATTAAGGAATCTCTAAGAAAATAAACGCTCTTTAAAAAAGCCAGAATCCAACAGCTTTTAGTATGGAGTAATTTAGCATTTCGTTCTTTCTTGTCGTCATTCTTGATGCATTTTCTCCCACTTTATCTAGGTGGCCTCGGAAATTTTCGGGCATCCTCGGTTGCCGCTACGCCGGTTCAGGATAACGCAATGTTTCGCGGCAAACGTGCAGTTCGTCGACAACCACTGACTAGTGTACTTTGTCTCATTTCATTTCTTTTCCTTGATACGTGCGTATATCTGACATTTTAACATAAACGTTTCATATTATTGTCACTAATAGAGCAATTTGTTTTATTCTTATCATCAGGTGAACAAAAATTATCGTAAAAGTTGTTTTACAACTCGACCATTAATTATCATGATCTCATGCTGGTACATATATTTTTTTTTTTTTACACTTTTTATCAATCCTACACATTGACTATCTCACGCTTTCTTTGGAAATATCGAAGCAAGTATATTTGAGGGAAAAAACGTTGTTGTTTTTCGTCAGGAAATGTTTTATGTGAGTTTAATTGAAGGTAGTGTTGTGATGGTAATTAGTATTTGTTTTTTTTTTTTCTACTCTTTGTTTTCACTCTAAAGTACGGGCTGACAAAATTTTACTTTTGTCTGGAGTTAGACTTTTATTTGTTTATGACAGAAGATGAGGTTTGTAGGGTGTTTATATTCAAATTAAATACCAGTAGTTTATTTATTCTACTAAATACAAACTTACAAAGTTGATATATCTTTGTTTTTTGATCGATTATTTTTTATTACACACTCTTTTTACATAATAAATTTCAAAAAAGATATTTTCTTTTGTTAATGATTAATTTAATTTAATTAAAATCACTGGATACTCAAAAAATTTATATTTTTTTTACGAATCAAAATTCTTGAATGGCAAAATTATTTTACTTATTACCATCAAATATTAAGTGAGATGAAGAAAATAAATTATTGGAATAAAATAAATGACATTGAACATTTTTCATTTGAAATCTATCAACATAATTATAGTTCAATATTCTGAATGTCTCTTCTAAATTTTATATGATCTAAAGTGAGCAGATAAAATTCTTAAATTCTGAAAAATGATCACAAACTCATTTTTTCTTAAAATAAAAAAATTCAACTACTGTAAAAATTAGAATAAGCATATATCTTCTTGTAAGCATCGATTTGTTGATTACCATATTCATTTTGAAGTAATACATTGATGAGGAAAAAAAGTTGAATTTTTTTTTTTGCTTTTTGACAAAATGTGTGAGTGTGTTTTTTTTTTTTATTCTACTAAAAACATTATTCAGTTTGTTTTAAAAATAAAATAATTGATGGGATGTATTATTCAGAGGTAGATATCAATGAAATATTGATATAAAAGAGAACCAATACACATTTATAAATGCTTTGTAATTACATTGGCGTCATATCAGATTGTTAAATGATACCAATGCAAACTTAAACTTTATACCATACTGTTATCCATCAGCAAAAAAAAAAAAACAAGTGGAATAAATACAATAAACATAGGATTATTTATTATTCAAATCTATTCGATTAGTTACTTTTTTTCGCATCAAGAACATTTACATAAAATAAACTTTTATCGTGTCGATTACAGATTATTTTCTCCAGTAATTTCGAGTGGCATCTTGAACAACTTTTATACAAAGCGACTTGTTTGAAGGAGAAAAGAATAACTTAACTTTGGAAAAAATCGAAATAAAATTTATTATTGAAAGTAGATTTTATGACAAAAATTTACCAATAAATTTTTTGTCATTGAATTTAATACTGTATTATTATTATTACTTTTATTTAATAATTTTTATTAAAGTACGAAAGATAAGAGATAAAAAAAAATACATTCTTGGAGTTTTATCATAAAAATTCAATGGTTTTACATATCATCGTAAAATTTCTTGAGTACAAGGAAACAAACTCTACCTTCAATATACATTTATTATTATATCTTTTTTTAATATTTATAAATTAAAATAAACATTAGTTACTCTTTCTTTTTTAATGATGAAATTTAGAGGAAAATATTTCATTCAAAGCAGTGACAAAAAATGTTAATTACAAATTCTCAGTAAAAGTGGCCAAATACTCTACTCATTACTGTCATTGTGCGTTATACTCGTGGTAAAATGAGGCGTTGCTCTTTCTTAGTAGCAAATTGCTTTCTGTCTACGCTTTTTTAATACTACTACCGACTTAACTTTTCAGCCTACTGACTCATCATTTCTTTTTTATTAATATTACCTTTTTTTTCCAACCAACTTGTTACCATCTATTTTCCCATAATTTATAAATCAAATTCTCTCGAGGAATTTCCATTTAAATATTTATCACTAGATCATCATATTAATTTTACATTTTATCAATAAAGTCAAATGATTCTCATATTTTTATTCACTAACTTTAACACATAAATTAAGCATTAAATAAATCCAGTCAATTATTCATTGCAAATGAGCTTACGGAACAAATGTATAAATCAATTATCAGTCGAATGACTTGGTGGTTTGTTTTATCGAAAATTTACCATGTTAAAACAAGTCTCTAGTTATAAAAGTCTTTTTATATGCTGTCGAAACAAAGTTAAAAAAGTATAAATAAAAATTCACTTTGTCGAGAGATTACATTTTCAAATAAAATCCAAAAAAGATGCTGTATCTGGGTTTTGTTTGTTGAAATATGTGCAACTCCATTGACCTGTTGATTATTATTGGAAGTGCATTCAAATCTATTTGATGTATAAAAAAGATCAAAATCATATTTGATATTACAATTTTTCTTTTCGTTCATGTTGATATCATGAATTAATTGATTTCAAACTTTTTTTATCAACAAAAATTATAATGATTATAATCTCATTACTCCAATTTGTTAAAATCCCAGACGAAAGCTTTTATTGTTCATCCTTTGTATAAAATGCATTCCAAAAACTTTTATAGAATATCAGTAAAATGATTCATTAATTTAGAAAGATTTAATTAAGTGATTAATAAATATACATATTTTACTTTTAAAAGTTTTTTTTAAATTAAAATAAGTGAAAATGAAATGATTGTTGTTAATTACGTTCAAAGAATGATAAAGGATAACTTATAATTACTAAAATAAATGATTACGTAACAGTGAATGTTGAATAATATATTATGTAGAATTTAGTAAAGTATGTTTTATTAATTTATCCAACTTACTCGTAATTTGCTGGAGAATATTAATTTTTTTTTATTAATTAATTAATGTATGATAAATACAAGAGTTTGCCATGATGCTTCTGACGATTGATCCATAAAATAATTATGCATTGTTTTTGCAAATATTGTCCAGAATAATTTAACGTTTAATTTAGGTTAACATAACTTTGCATTAAATTTTTAATTGTATTTTATTAAATAATTATTATTTTATTCTCAATCAATCAATTATTTTATTAACTAGGGTATTATAATTTATAGGGTAATTTATACACTACGTGACATAAATGGTATCAGATTCTTTTTAATTTTTTTTTTGAGGTTATACATGCAATTCCCTATACTTTCCTATACCAAATTGAAATATTATTTATGCCTTCACATAATTGAATGGAATAAGAAATAAAAGCTAACTATAAGGACTACGCATGCGCACAAACTAATTATTTTGCATTATAATGTTTCTACGCATGCGTAAGCCAAATTTTTAGTTTTATTCTCTATTTCTCCTCGTATGGCCATCTACCCCGGACTTACCCTACCGAAATGGTTGCAATTTTTTTAAAATTAGAGAATAATTTAAATTAAAGTCTCTACTTAAGATCAGTCGTAAAGTCATCAATAATAAATTATCAATTAACAATAAAATTTTTTTTATAAAAAAAAACCCTTTAAATAATAAATAAAGGAAAAACTTTAATTTTCATCAATATATGACACTTCTGGAATATATTTCAACATTTCAAATTTTTATTTCACCCTCGTGGAATCCTATTTTCTATCAACTGATAGATGAAAATCCCAAAAATTTCCGATTTCATGAAACATAAGTAAAAAAAAAAAAGAAACAATTGATTCACTTTGATTTGTGACCATGACAAAAGGGATCCAAATGTAATCTTTCAGATGCAATAACTAATGTCACATCTCTGAATGCAATCAAGTGGAAATTCCTTTACTCAGCAATTTAATTTGTCATTTGGGAGCGAATTCCGTCAATTTATTGTGATGAAGTTGACATACATTGTTTAAAAACTCGAAATATAAGAATACTATAATATTCGTATATCAAGATATATTGATATATCGCAATAGCGTGCATTCGATTTGTACGTAAAGAGAAAAATAAAAAGAGAAAAACTATTGAAACGATCAGTAATAGAAGCAATAGAATGTTCGATTGACACGCAAACGCCCACGCGATAAATTTTTATACAATCTCTTTTATGAGTCTTCTACGTCGTCACTGTTGGCTTCTCTTTCATGTAAATTTTTCCTCATTGATACAGTGGATTTGTAACTGAATAGAATGCTCTAGAGAAAATATAATTATGTCGATTATGATGCTGAAGCGTTAGGAAACATAGTACGCCAAATGTTGAGGATAAGTAGACAAGAAAAACAAGAAACGGACGAATGGTTAGTAAGTTTATTCGCTAACGGTCTAGTCGTGTCCCATCATGTCTTTCGTGATGCTGTCCACTCGAGGGAATATCAGCATGGCTTTTGTAGAATAACGGCCACCCGGAAGAAGCTGAAATCGCGTTCAGCATCGCCATTGAGACTTTTCTTTTAGCTCTATTCCCCATCTTTTACTTTTAAATCGTACAAACTTATCATGAACCTTAGATTATACTGTTTAATCTGCATCTACGTTTACTTTGAATATAAATAATCGTAAGATATTTTTTTTTTTGAGCATGATTTTTATGATAAAAGTCGTAGCTTTTTATAAATAAGACTAAATATTCTGATATTCATTTCCTTATTTTCCCTTTAAGTATATTTTGAAAATAGAAAAAAATGTTATTAGAGACATAGATTTATTTTACGGTTACTTTGCGAGACATTAATGTAAATTAAAAAGTCAAAGAGTATTTTAATGTCGAGAATTTAATCTTTGAATGCTTGACATTTTATAAGTTATGAAAAAATTGTTTCAGACGTGAATATTCTCAACTAATTATTTTTCAAAAATTTTTAACATTTTAATAAATATTCAAAGTTCACTGAATTTTCTTTGCTTTTATGTTTTTTGGAAAAATAAAAATATTTTTATGAGTTCATTTAATGTAGATTTTGCGAATTTGTGTCAAAATTTTTCTTTTGAATGCCATTATAATAGTCGAGTTAATTGAACTGTAAATCGACCATTGTGGATAGCTGAAACCACCGTAGAAAGTGTTATAAACATCATAGCAATAATTTTCTAAAAAATCAGATCTCTGAGTCCGCAGAAAATATTGCAAAAAAAATGCGAAACCGTGAAAAAATGAGTTTTTCCGCAATATTTCGAAAATGGCGGGTATAATAAAAAAAAGTTTCAAATAAAAGTTGTAGAAAATTGAATTCTCTACAAAAAAGGTCATTTTGCAATTTTTCGTACTTTCCATACTTTCTTTGTAAAATGCGTTTAAAGTGTGTGTGTGTAGCACTGAATTGTTTGAAAAATTATTGTTCTATCATAATTATTTTTACGCTAAAATTAATGGTCAGTTCGGAAGGTATTTTAGTCATTTTTAATTGAATTTTAATTAATTAAAAGTAAATTAAATATTTGAAATCGAAAAAAATCGATATCAAATCGAATCTGAGATTTTTTTTGATAAAATAACTTTGCTTTCAACTTCATTCATAAAAATTCTAGACATGAGTTATTCATGTATGTAAAATTATTCTTTTTTTTATTCAATGGAAAAAAAATACTCTGTATCAACAAAATATATGCTTCTATTTACATGCATATATCGTACTGATGAATGAAGTTAGTGAATGAGAAGAATATACAAAAAATGGAATCAACGTGAATCATCAGTATATTTCCTAGTTGATTATTATTTTTATTAATTTGATATGAGTCTGCTAAATATAACCGCTAGGAACATATACATATCTGAATAGTTGATGTATATGCTTTTCTTTACATTTACCATTATCTCGTGTCTACACTTGTTCACGTATTCTCCTCACGTGAGATTGTCCCTTCATGCTTTCGTAATTCTCATCCTATTACTCCATACTCTCCATGGTTTATTTACTTTCGTAGAATATTTGCAAAACAAATTCCCTTGTCCATCCTATTGTATCAAACTTCAAAAAGAGATATGTTGATATTTTAAGGAATTTATTAAGGGTAAAAAAATTAAAGAAATTATTTAAAAGTTTGAATAATTGAAATAATAATTTCGAAAATGATAGATCCAGCCTTCAACATTTATTGCTTTTGGATTGTTACTACTAAATATTGCAAATGTTTATTTAATATTTTATTTGATTATTAATGACAGTAATGAGATTTATTCGAGTGAGTAAATAGTAGAGTTTACTGAGAATATTAAAATGAATTAACGAGTTTTGATAAAAAAACAATGAGGTAAATTCCCTATTTTTGTCCAGCTGCATATTTTGGTTAAATAAATATCTTTAAAATGAAATTAGTCTGGAGTCGATATCTTCAGTGATTCTCGAGATATCGACCGAACATACGTACGTACAATTATATATCAAATGGCCAGAAATAAGCGAAATAATTTTTAATTATTTATAAATTGAAACCTAAACTTTAGCTTCTCAATACACTAGTATATCCTTTTTGAAATCTTTAGAGGTTTAATTCTCTTGGGATTTAATAGATGTTTATTGTTAATTAACAAGTTAATTTATTATGAAGAAACATTTATCCATCTGGGCAAACTAAATTTAACCTAATGAATCACTAATCAATAATTAATAAGCTTTTATCAGTTAATATCCTTCAACAAAAGATTTACAACAAATAGTAAAAAAAATAAATAAATAAAATAGTTTTTATTAAGATGCTATTAACTATATCAGGTTTATTATAATTTTTTTTACGACTTAAAACAACTTTTTATAATTTTTTAATGACTATTTATTTATTAAAACACTCTTTGAGATATTAATTAGTGATTAGTACACCTTATTATTAATTTATTTTTTATAATAGAGAGAAAAAAAACATAATTTAATCGTTTGATATTTCGTGAGAAAAAAAAGATGTTATTGGATGGATAGGAATCTGAATATCTAAATATGTAGTGATGTTTGATACGTAGTAGATAGAAAAGTATCGATTAGTAAACAATAACAGTAGATACATCAACTACATAACGATTACTAGAGACTAATATACTTGATGAAATCTGATAAAATAAAAGATTAAAGATTGCATTCCAACAGTGACGGTATCAAGAGAAAAAAGAATGCACCAACTCATCATCATATTACTTCAGGATTCTTGTTTGACCACGCTTGAAGTAGATCGATGACGTTTTAGTACAGCTTTATATATTTTTTATATCGTCTAAGACACGTTAAACATTCTCTTTAATATACTTGCTACAATATTTCAGTCTTACTTCTTCGTAATTACCATTTAATTAAGTGGTTTCAGTCGATTAATTCATTTCAATAAATTTCATATCACATTTTTATTTTATTATATTTTCCTCTCTCAAGATTCATTTAAGCAAAAATTTTTCAAGTGATTTATTTTTGAAATGAATGAATTTTTCAAAAAAAAAAAAAAATGTCTGTTCAAAATTGAGAAATATTTCTCTCTAGTAAATCTCTTAAATCAACAGGTCTACATGTACAGGCCGTAAAAAAATGGCAAACTGACTGTTCAGTACGACCCTTTATGATGCAATAAAAGGAACGGAAATAAAAAAACTACATACAAGAGCTCAACTAAGAGAACTAACCAGCCGTTGAAAATTCATTTCATAGAAGCTCTGTAGATTTTCTCAAAAATAAATCTGACTTTTTGGTTCTCTGGATCCGTATAATACCATCAGTTTTTTTCCTTCGACAAGACAAGTCTAATACAGACCTTACGGCTTTATATAATAGACTCTTAAGGTAATATCACAGGACGATTGTTGTCCTATACAAACGGAAACTGTACACAACATCAGGAAATGTATCTGAAGTAGTAGAGTCACGGAAAATGCTTACTTGCGTCTACTCTGCTGAGAAATTCAAAACGAAAGCTGTAACAGTGAAACTTGAACAAAGTGACGAGTCGAAAAAAAAAACGAGATTATTGACAGTTGAGAAGAGACCTGGTATTGCTAAATCTGAAACACCGATTTTGCTTCCTGATAAAAATGAGGTAGGTTTATTATATTACCGACACGAAATTACAACTTCCTTCGAACTTATTCATTTATTTTTACTAGGGTGTTTGAAAAAATTTACTCTTGCTAGGGAATATTTTTTTTTCTCATAGGGACACGAATAAAATTTTATAGTAATTTTTACTAGCCAATTTACAGTGAAATTTATTAGTAAAAAAAAATTACTAAATTTTTTTACTAAGCTAAAAGACTTAGTAAAAAGTGATGTTCTGGATGGTAAAAATTTTACTACTTTTTTGGTAATTTTTACTAACTAGAACATAGGTCGTAGGTCACGACATGAATCTTGTCTTATGAAAAAAGTATGAGAGTACGGCTCCATAGCGACGTATTAAAAAAAATCACCGATTAAATTGCGTTAATAGTTAACAGTTTATATTTTGTAATTGGACCGTACGAAAAATAGTACATTTTTAACCTAGGGAGAAAAGTATAATTTTCTGAGTATAATATTTTTAAAAATAAAAATAGCTAAAACCTAGTAACTTTCCATTTTTTTGATGAATTTTACTGTAGATTCACTAGGTAAAAATTACCAAAAATTACCAAAATAGGAATTTTTATTATAAAATTATTATAAAATTTTCTACGTATAATTATTATTTTTTAAATTATTCAATAACTTGATTCAATATCATATCAAGTGAATTCACTTACAGAAAAGTTATTTTATTAATGAATGAATGAATTAGTTATTTAAAAAAAAATTGTTCATTTTATTTCATGAAGAATAGCTTTTGATCAAATATTAATAATATTAAATATCCTTAAAATATAATATAATATTCGAAATAATTATTTTTTCTAAAAATATACGTTTCATTGTAATCTCTGAATGATCTTCAAAAAAAAAAAGTCCACAAAGTGTATCGACTCAAGCATTAATCAAACTTAAGAAAAGTATAAAGTATATTGGAGATCGGAATAAATAGAAGCGTAGCAGAAGAAGGAAACGCAAAAGGTTGTAAGAAAAGATAATTACTTCTTAAATCCATCCTACAAATATATATATTGAAAAGACAGATATTCTCATCCTTCTTTTATTTCCATTTAATGCTTTTTTTCAGTAATCACGACATTGTAGGTTTGTAAGGATTTTCTAAATTTGTATCTTCCGTTCATCATTCCATTTTATCCTTCTTTCCTATAAAAGCATTGAAAAAAAAAATCCTGAAGAATTTGATCGTGAGAATATAACTAAAATAGAAAAGTGTAGATGGAACGATTTATAAAGATATAAATGTGGGATGTTATTAATTATTTCAAAGACATCAAAAAGATGACTTCCTTTTAGCCTACACCCAGTGCAGTAGGTGGGATGGAATAAAAGGTTGCTACATGATATTTAAAGTAATAAATAAATAATTCTTCAATTTAAAGATAGAAAATACTTCAAATTATATTAATAGAGTTATTTATAAATAAACAAAACAATTAAAAAATCAATTTGGAAATTTTATAAAATAATTAATCAAAATTATCATTTAAATAATACATAAATTAATTATTTAAAATTACTTTTTATAATAACAATTTAATCTATCTTTATAATTTAATTGTTTGAACTCAAATGTTACTCAAACATCCATTTTTTTACATTTTTAATTAAATCATTAATTTTGATCAATAAAAAATATTTCTTAAAATAAATTCAATGATTAATAATTAATTTTTAAATCTACTTCTTAATGCATGCATTTTCTCGATGCATTAAAAAATATTTTTATATCTTACCATTGGAAATAACAATTTTATTTTAAAATTCAGTTAATTCAAATGCAATGGTTGTTATTAGAAAATATTTCATAAACGATGCATAATTCATAAAAGAAGAATCCCTAAGTAAACTACTAATATATTCGTCTATCAAATGTTTTTTGGGTTTATCCATGTTCACATATAAATCGTCTGGTCTTCCGCTTTATGATTACTCGTATGTCTGTTTACATATGTATAGATCCGGACATAAATTATGCAGAACATACATCTCTTTACCATCGAAAAGCTTACTGATATGACTTTCTGTTCGAAGACATATGTTGATGATTGAAATTCGACCCCAACTTATATCTTTTAGGTATCAAATTTGCTCCTCATATTCAGAGGGCGGTGCTTTTTTTATTTTTCACATCACCATATTTACTTTCTCCTCCAATTTGATATAATTTCATCAACGATTCGAATAATAAAATACACATTATTAAAAGATTTATGAAAATTTTAGATTAAAAAAAAAAAAAAAATATTGTTGAAAGTATACACTGATGTTCTGTAATGCTAAGTAAATCTACCATCTCTTTAACCTTATTTTAAAATGTAAAATCTTCGTCATTAACATAAATGAGGTCCATTTCTAGTGAGTACATATTTCGCAGAATTTCTCGAGTCATAATGGGTTTATTTATTGTAACATTTTCACTCCCTCATTTACTCAGGCTTTTAGTTTATTTTAATAGAAAGATGGCCATTTATTACACTCAAAAGAATTATCTTGTGGTTTCATATTTATTGTCGATTAATGATAACATAATAAATTAAATTTTTTATTTATTCAAATTATCTGAATGAAAAAAATAAATTGGTAACTACGGACAGGAACATTTACCCAGAGTAAATACTTGGAGCCTATGACTGTAGGATAATATTTAGAAATCATAAAAATATTATTCTCTTAATGAGATTCATTTAGACTTTGTAAATATTCCTGTGGAATTGTAATGAATATTAAACAATTATGGAATACTGTATGTGAAGACAAATTGACTTAAAATAGAAATAAAAAATTAAATTTGATTAATAATCATAATATATGAATTGATATATCTACTGTATATGTTCAATGATATTTATAGATACTTTTTAATTTAAATATTTCCTAAATTACCGTAAGTTTCCCAATTAGATAGTCATCTAAAATGAGATATTCTAACATTAAATAATCTTCCAGAAATTCATTATTAATTTTACGAAAAGTAAATACTTGGAAGCTAGAGATATTCTAGCCATTTAATAAAGTTTTCATGTATGTTATTAATATCTTATCATTTTTAGATACAAATATTTCCGGATTATATATAAATTTTTTTTTTAGTCTTGTAAGTTATTAGTCTATCTTACACACCACCCTACATCCTAATAATATGCAGGGAAGGTTAAATTTTCTGTTAATTTAACAAAAGGAAGTTTAAATACATACCTTTATATGGACATTTAAAGTCCCAAAACTATTATAAGTTTTGATTTTTTTATATTTTCATAATTTTTTTCATAAATCTACCAATAAATTGAACGAATTAAAAAAAAAACATATAAAAATGTTGATTTACATTTATTTCATTCAAAATTAATTTTAATAAACTTTTTCTTTTTAAAATATCTCCATTTGTTACATTATTTTATAATATTATTACAATAATTATTATTACATTCAAGAAAACATCAACAATAAGATAATTGACAATTTTTTACAGCCTTGCAATTTTTTCTAATAAAAAAATTTATGTCAAAAACAGGATGATTCATCTAGACTATGTTACTTTACATTTTTATTATTATTTTGATAATAAAATTTTAATAACTTCTGCATTAAAATTCTTGAATTTAACAAAGAAAATGTTGATCCTGAAAACTAAGAAAAAATATCATCTTAAGATGACGTAATTTTTTAAAATAAAATATGATTCATATTTATTGTTATTATCATTATTATAACAGAATTATTTTGAGTGTAATAAATATACTAAAACAATCATACATTGCCCTACAAATCCGATTAGAAAAAATGATTGAACCTTGAACTATCACAAGTTCACTGATAAAACTTACACGTAGCTACTGAACTACCAATCTTAATTCAATTGATAATATTATTTTAGGATTTGATTTTTCTTAAATAAACATTTGGGGCTAGATAACATCTTCCACTAGACTATTTATTACACGTTCAAGAATTTATATGGCTTCTAAAATCAATACATAGAAGAAATAAAATGATTGTTGTGACAATTTAAGTTTTTAATCAATTTAATATGAAATTTTCAAACAACAATCAATAGTTGATTTTCTGTTGATGACAGTTTATTAATTTTCTAGATTATTGTTTTGATATGAAAAAAAATTAATAAATAAAATAATAAAATAAACAAAGACCATATGAGTTTTTACAAATGGATGAATCCATGGATGATGATTGTACATAAACATAAACTTTTGACAATTTTTCACTAACTTTTATCTCTAATTCTCAAGAAAAACTTTAGAAACTATATTTTTCTTGTCCCTTGGAAATCCAAGATTTATCAAGAGATGTGACGGCATATCTATTATGTCAAACTATCCGTCTAACTCACCACTTTAATTCTAGAAATACGCCTCTAATATAATAGTATACACTTTTATATTATTATCAACAATATACAATTATTTTAACACATCAAGTTATTTATAACAACATTTTATTGATATTTATCGAATAAATAATCATAATAATTCAATAAATTAAAACCATTTTGAAATCTTCTAATATAATTTTAAATGTTTCAAAATGTAAGGATTTTCAAAAATCTTCTCAATTAGAATAATTTTTTAATAGGAAGTTAATTAGTGATTCTATATTATTAAATTTGAGTCTTTTGTTCAAACTATATTAATCCAATACCTTTTAAAGAATAATAAAACGATGCCTAGTTTATCTTTGTAATGAGTGTAAGATTGAGAGTGAAGTAAGACTGTTTGAATGTTGACTATTTTCTTGTATTTTTTGAGTTATGTATTATATGTTGCACGGAAATTGCAAAAGCTCACAAGAGCATGCAATGAAAATAAGTATATATATTAATACAATACCTTTTCTCAATCAATTCATTCAAAATTAACCAAGACTTTGAAGTAGTTTATGGAATGTACGAGGAGTAATAACAAAGTACTTGATAAAACATGCTTGAAATAACAAATTTTAGATATCTAGAACTAGAAGAGAGTAGCTTTTTTTCATTGAAACAGATGTGATTTAATGGTATAAAAAAAATAGTAAAGAAAAGAAATTAGATTTTCTACAAAAGGTATATAAGTGAAGTACATTGCTCCTATCTCAAAACTCTTTTTGTTCTTCGTCTTTGTCAGCAAACTTCAATAAAGGTGCTCGTTTATCAGGAAGCACATAGGTCGACATAAGAGAACTCAGCTGTAACCCATCTTACTACATACACACCAAAGTACCACCCCTGTGTCATTTTTCATGAAAACATCTCCTATGTCACATTTAAATTTATCATCTGTTTCATCTATTTGATTACATATTACCTCCATTAATAAATAATTCATTTAAAATATTTAAAAAACACAAGTAATGAAATAATTGTCTCTCAAGATAACTTTAGAAGAAAAACTGATCTAAAATTGGTTTTTAATTTTCTCTTTTCATTTATTTAAAGACTTTAAGATCTCTTTAGAAAGCACTTTCCGCCAATTGATTTTAACTATAAAACTCTTCGAACAATTGAAATAATTTAAACAATGAATTACAAATAGATTTAAATTGATTATTAATTGTATTGAGTTGGAGTGAAATATTTTTTTAATTTTAAAAAAGTAAAGGAAAAAAAAATTTTAACAAAATAATTAGACAGGTAATTTTAATGGTATTATTTTTTGATAGTTCTATATATATAAACATTATTTTTATTAATCATATTTTTTTTGCGGCAAACCGCAGTTATCGTTTGCTTCAAAACCTTGTCGACCTTGAAATTCCACATCTTCCCTTTCTCCACGTGGTTTTACTCTTTCTCTTCAACATCTCTCGTCTTCGAAGTGATTCCAAGTGGCTTTGAAACGAACAAGAACCTGATCAAATGAGTTAAACATACAAAAATGGACAAAAAAATGTGTAAAAGATACTAACTAAAGAAAGAATGATCTTAAAATAATTCCCTTTCATCTGAACTTGATTCAATATTATTATAAATATTCTACTAAAGTTTATTCCCATGAGGGAAAGTTTGGATTGAGGAAGAGCTTTTATGAAAACTGTATGCCAATTTATCAAACTTGTGTTTCAAAGTAATGAATATAAGCTAAATCATGAGGTGTTATTACTTTCTAGGTCTATATGTGCATTCATCTTATCTTTACATCCACTATTATAGTTCAAGTTATTTCTCAAGAGTTGAAGAAATTAGTTCCAGTAAATGAAGTGGTTTTGAATATTCACTGATTGCCAGTGCTAATCCTAACACTGAATGAATCAGTCATTGGATTGGCACTGGATATCAGTAAATATTCACTGATTCGTAGTAGTTTTAATTAGCATGCAGTTCAGAGCGAAAAATGTATGATTCAAACATTGAATAGTTTTTTTTTTTACTCTATGTCTGACTAATAAAAGCATTTATCTATTTTTATATTAAAAATTTTCATCAATCAAATATTTGTAGCTTCAGAAACATCTCAACTTATGAAAGCTATTTTCTGATGGAAATTCTCTGAAAAAAAAAATAAATGTAAAACAAGATTGAAAATATCCTTGTTATATCCTAGTCTCATTGAGATAACCTATGAAAATGGGAACTAACAAGATAAAAATGTCAATCTTTTTTAAATAAAAATTACCATACACTGATTGCATCTACTATAATTGTAGTAACAAACATCAACTCTTTTCCTTTTTATACTCATCAGAAATGTTTTATTATGGTTTTCTAATAACACTTAACAATTATTTCAAGTTTAATAATGCCATTAAAAGTAGAATTAAATTTACAAGGATCATAATTTGTCATACTCTAGTCCATAAATTGTCGAGATGATGTGTAAACCACAAGAATTATGTGCATATAGAGGAAAACGCATCGGATGGACCTCAGGAAGCTGGTAGTTTATCACACTAGACCATATAAAACCATCTATTCTCTCTCATCGTCACCTCGAGATATTTTTTGCTTTGTCCTTTACGTTGACATATAGTAGCCGGACTTTTTATTCAACCTAAAAAAAATTTTATAATGCTACCGTTCTGTCAACATCTAGTTGTCACATTTGAAAAATGCTAAGAATAAAAATATTCTTCACGAAAATTTGTCTCCCTTAATACTACTGCCATAAAATGTAGAGAATTTATCCTTCATTATAATCAAGTAAATTAGTAATTTTACTGTTGGCATTTAATTGAACTATAAACTAATAATTATATTTAATTGTCCAAAGGATTGTAATGGTGGTCAATTAAATGCAATAATTAATGATTTATCTTCCGGTGAAGATGATAGATGGATAAGTAAAAGAAACCCAAAATAAAGTGAAAGAAAAGGAAAATTATTTTTCGAAAAAAAGTCTATCAATCTTTTTTAACTTTTCATGTGGAGGATTTGTTATTGTTGTTGATTTCAAGTTGATTTGATTAATGGTATTTGTGAGGATTAATAATAATATCAAGTAATGTATTATATTATGTCATATTACGATTTGATGATATTTGAGGTTAGTAATTAATGAGGAAATAAAATTGATCTGTTTCAGTTACCAGTGGGCGGGGGTGGAGCTGTGCTGGTACTCAGCGAACTCGAAAGTATGGCAGCCAGGCAACAACGGGAGATTACCCTACAGAGACGTCTCCTTGAGCAACGGGAAGCCCGGCTGGCCGTGCTTCGAGGCGCTCAGGTGAGTTATTTTAATCATCATTCATTAACTTATGGTCCATTATCACAATCAATTTTTATCCACTGACTCGATAACAACCAACAATGGTATGATGCATTTTTTAATGAAATGTCATCACACAGATCCACGTCTTATTCTTCTCGGTAATTAGGATCAAGTCCTTGTATCACATTTTTTCCATGTACCATGAGAAATATTTTATTGTCCCACGTCAACTGTTTGGGCTGAATAACATTTTATTTAAATTTAGAAATTAATTTAAAAAAATATTTATTGATAAATTATTACCGCGTAGCTAAAACAAATGAATTTTTATTTGTTATTGAAATTAGACTTGAAGAAGATCTTGTATTCCTCTTAATAATTAAAACCTGTTTTCAACTTAGTAACTTTGATAGAAAAAATTTTATTTCATTAAAATACGTTAAAACCAAATTTAAATTGTCTAAATCGGGTCATTTATTGGTTAAGACCTGGCTTTGACTTAAGAATTAAAATAATAATAATTTTATTTTAAAGAGCTATGTCTAAATCAATAAGTCTTATTTTTTGACTCAGGAAAGCTCTAATTATTTTTCTCCATGCTCTTCCTTGCTAAGGTCTGATCATGGTATGTCAATGAGTATTCATTATATATAATGATTGCAGTCTTTGTTTCCCTTTTGAATAATCTTCATGCCGGATCTCTACTGATTCGATGATTCTTTTTAATATTTTATAAAAATTAAATAGTCAAAATTACTGTGACTTGATGAATCCTCATCAACTCATGATTGAACAGTAATGATAAATTGTTTCTACTTTTTCATTTCAACCGAGTTTATTATTTGTTTTCATTTTCTTTTTTTCTTTTTATCGATATTATCTTACCATCATTTCTTTTATTGAAAAAATAATAATAATAATAATAATAATAATAATAATAATAATAAACTGTGATAAAATCGTTACTCAATATTGAAAATGAAAAACCAGGAAAATAGCATGATATGCTCGATTAATATTTACACTATTACCAGGGTATATTTACAATAAGTAAAACACTTGTTGTTTCAACACAATTTTCACAAAACCATTGTATTGTCTTATTTTTACTTACGATTGTTTCAATTCTCGTGAAAGTGTAGTATTATGTTGAAAGTTAAAACACATCATTCTGTTGGAGTGTTATGCGTTTATAAATACCCCACTATCTAAAAAAAAATAAATAAATAAATAAATAATAATTCCATTCTTTATCTCATGTATATAAAAGAATGAATACGAATTTAATTACCACCTTGAAAATAATTAAAAATAATGGGGCTACTGTGCGTAATAATTACCTCATAACTGCGAAATGCAATAACGCAACATGTAACTTAGTGAGAGGGATTTAAATTATTAATTCATTATGTATATTTATTTTTTAACTTTATATATTTATTAATGAAATTGTTGGTTTTTTATTGCATAAAAAACAATTATTCTTCTTTTTTTTTACCTCAACTGAGAATTGAAAAAAAAAATATTTTATTTACTTGCAATTCTAGTGTAGTAAACAAGCTTTTGTTTAAGTCTGAAAAATACTTTTTAATTGTTAATTTAAAAATAAAATTCTATCGAAATCATATTGTTTTTAAATATAAAAGCCAATGTGTTTCAAAAACTCAATAATATAATAAAATCTATTTGTTGAATTTTTTTTTATGATTTTTATTTTAAATAAAAAAATGATTAAAAAAGTGTCTATTAATTTAAATAAAACTGTTGTCACCTTAGTGATTAATGAAATGTGTAAAAAAAACTTACAAAAGTGAATTTTTCATTCTGCTATTTATGTAAAGAGAAGCTTGTTATGTGCAAAATATTTAAAATTCTTTAACTAATAAAATGCATTCTAAACTATGCATCAGAATCTTAACTATTAAGAATCCAAACCATCTGCTTTCATTAAAAAAGTTCTTGAAAAATAGTTATACTTTATCTCAAGTGAAATCTATATCAATTATATCTTCTTCTCTATTGTTTTTTTTTTTCTGAAAGCTAAACATTTATCAAGTTCATTAAGAAATTAATAATCCTCATGTGACAAAAATTTAATCTTTCTTACTTTAGAATATTTGCTAATGAAATAAAAATTTTTTTAATTCTTTTTTTTTTAATATAAGAAAGTATATAAAGTATTAGAAAGCTTTATTTACTAGAATCGATATTAAATTATAAATGGTTTAATTGAAAAATTGAATTCCCCAGGAACCGGCACAGCAAGAAAGACTGGCAAGACTGAGACATCGGCTTGACCAACAGCAAAGCAAGCTCAACAGACTAAGACTACTTAGGTCACAGACAGAGCAGTCACGAGCTAATAATGCAACTCTGAGTAAGTTTTTACGCTTATTTATTTCACCTTTTATTCGCTCGTTAAGTTTCATCAGCTAAAACTTGACATCGTTTTTGCGAAAGCTAAAATCTTCGTTAACTTTTACCTCATGCACTTAAAAAAACACTATTTACTTCATTCCTTTAATTACATAAAAAGAAAAAAAATACAGTTAACGTAAGAGATAAAAAGTTTGTTGCTACAGTTATCTCTATTTCTCTTGGATCTACAGAAAAAATCAGTCAATACAATCGACTGAGTAAATAAATGCAGCAGAATAATAGATCTTCAGTCTATTGCAACAGCAGAATATTATTTCCACGGAATAAAATTATCTCAAGCACCACAAAACTCTTGAAATATTTAAACGACTGTTAATTTATTAGGTAAAATAGGTCTAGATGTACCCCGATAGCCATTCGTGATAATGATTTATACATCACACGATTTAAGAAACGAATTTCAATCAAGTTTAACGCATATGTATTACATTTACTGAATAAAAATTCATATTGGTAAATTAATGATCAAATTTAGGGATTCATAATCGATAAATAATTTGGTGAATTATTGCAACAAAGTATTTGCGTCCCCACGACCAAATTACCATTCCCATAATCGAGTCTTTTTTTCCAATTTTCATTGTAATTCATAACTTTACGACATCATTGTTAGTTTTCTTTCAATTATTTACAACAATTTAAAATTGTTATAAAAAATGTTTAATTATTATGAATCTTATGGAGTCTTATTGACAATAATATTTTGAAAATCGATCCCATTATAATAACTTCTTGATGGATAGTTAATAAAACAGTAGTAAATTATTAATTGTTTTATATTATTCAACAAAAACCGGTCAATTGTCAGATTATAAATAATGTTCAAAATTAATTTAATCTATAAATGAATAAAATCGACTAACGAATAACAGACTTTGTCCACTTTGGATCGATGGACAAATATTTGCTGGAATACTAAACAAGCTTGACTTCTAGATCAATCAATAGGTATATATAGAAATGAAGGGAGCGAGATATCGAAATAGACTTTGTGGAGACCAAATCAAAATGAGACGAATATGATCGACAACGAGCAGAGGTTCCAGCGTGTATATAGCAGAGAGAATCATTTATTGGATGACTTGTGAAGCCTTGCTTGCTTCGTTATGCAAATTCCCATGCAGTCAATGTCCCAGATGAGCACGCGAGCGAATGCACATAACACGCGAGCACAAGTCGCGGCACCGTGGCCTCTTGCCGCGACGAGAATTAAGCTATATATGCAGCAGCATCAAGCTGAATCTACCGTTCAATGACTTCACGATCTCCTTTTTTTTTTTCTTTGCCGATCAATGTCTGTCTATCTACTGTCCGATGCATTGAATTATTACGTCTTCTATCTCTTGAGATTCTTTTTTTATAGGTTTCTTTATTTATTTATTTATACCTCTGCAAATAGTTCTTGTGGTGATCAATCATTAGACTACACTCTATCATTACACTCATCGCATTTAGTAGCATTTTTTTTATTAAACAATAGAAATTGTATGGAGTTTTAGTATTATGATTGCTTAAGAATTTTATTCAATTGCAGGAATGATTCGTGAGAGAGAGAGAGAGCTTTCGATTGCATTAGTTAAAATTATAATTGGAGCATAATTTATGTTGAAAATTGGAGCAAGTACCCATTTCACCCCACTTTAGAAGTGAAATCATTGATTTTTCATATTTTTGACTTGATTCCGCATTTCTACGCATCAAGACGAAAAGAATGAGTGGTCAAACTTGAAAATCGGACAAGTTTGATTTTTCAACCCCAAAAAATGGCAAGTGGCAATTCGTCAAAATACAAAAAAGTCATATTTTTTTTTTAGAGTTCGAGAGTATTTTGGCAATTTTGAGGGTGAAATAAATTTTTTTCGCATTTTTCATTAAGTTGTATGTGTAGCTTAGACTCTGAGGTTTTCAAAACATATCTAAAAAAAGGTTTTTTGACCGTCCGTTCATGAGTTATAGGGGTTTAAAGTCAAGGGGATGATAATTCGTAATTTGTATTTAGTATAACCCGTTTTTAAGGGTGTTAAAGTGAATTTTCTTGGGCTGTGCCTCGATTCCGCATTTCTACACATCAAGACGAAGAGAATGAGCCCTCAATCATTAAAATCGGAGTACTTTTATTTTTTGGCTAAAAAAAATGGAAAGGGGTACCACTTGCCATTTTTTGGGGTTGAAAAATCAAACTTGTCCGATTTTCAAGTTTGACCACTCATTCTCTTCGTCTCAATGTGTAGAAATACGGATTCAAGTCAAAAATATGAAAAATCAATTATTTCACTCCTAAAATGGGGTAAAATGGGTACTTGCTTCAATTTTCAACATAAATTATGCTCCAATTGTAATTTTAACTAATGCAATCAAAAACTCTCTCGCTCACGAATCTATTGATGTGCTCATGGTTTATCTAGACCCTTTAGATCTTAAGTTATTAACAGAAAAAAAAGTACTCCATTTCCACAGTAAATTTTTTCCTCAGTGTAAAGAAGTATTAGTTGTTCATGCTATTGAAACAGAATGTTTATTCCAGTGAAAGTTTCAAGGTAAAATTGTCACGTTTAGAAATTTAATTATAAATAATTTATCGGCTAAAGAAATGTTCTTTCTATTACGAGTAAGTTGTTGTCATTATTATTTATTTAAAATCGTGTAGAATTAGACCTAGTTCTTGATATCAAAGAGAGTGGTTATTATTTTTTTTCTATTTATTAAAATGATTTTCTATGAGATTAAAATTATGCTTGTAATCCTTGATAACTTCTCTATTATATTCTCTAATTTTGAAAGAAAATGAGAAGTGGTGTAAGCATGAAAATGAATTACTTATAATTAAGACATAATTTCTCAATACATACTACAAAGACATTTTCAATTTCTAATTATTATTTTTAATCTAATGATAAATTCTTAATCAGGTTAATAGACTATTTTTGTTATTTAACATTTGCATCGTTTTGTCTCTAGAGTATTTAAACATTCACGTGAGTATTTCCCTAAGGACATTGTTGTGTTTAAGTTTTTGTGATTTTTTGTATCACGATCTGATCCATTTTTCAAAGAACAAATCTTTTTTTATCAATCATTTTTAATCGATTAAAAACAAAATTAACTTTACACTATAAAATTAAATAAAAAATAGTTCATTTGAACAACCTCATTATCAAAGACTTGTTTGATTTTTTAGTTTCCTTTTAGTATTTTTAATTTTCATTAAAAATATTTCAAGATTTTTTTTTCCCCCCCAACCTTTTATATTTTTTCCATTCATGCGAGAAACGACATGTTATCGTTGCTTCCAGTAACGAGTTTTCTACTTTAGCACGTTCAATTACAGACTTAATTTATGACTTAACAGAGAAAAACTTGACCTTTTTACTTGAATAAACTGATTCAGCCATTATTGTTATACTTTCTTTGAATACTTGATGAAAAGCAATGAGCTTTCATGACTTTTTAATCCTGTTTATTTTATTTACGTCTATTGACCGGAAAGAGAACTTTTAATAAAAAGCTAAATGTATTCATAAAACACAGACAGATGATTTCTAAAAAATAAATTTCAAATAATTATTTGACTGCCATAATCATTAGCCCAACTTTCATTTACTCTTGACATGTTGGTATAAAAAAAGCTAAAGAGAAAAATGGCTTGTGGTAGGTACATCGTTATATCCACGTACACGAACTTATGTACCATCAAATTCCATGTACATTGACTTCAGATGTGTGTGTACATGTCGATATAAGCCATGAGTAGGTATAGCATATCATGCAGCATGTGACCATCCGTTTGCAATGGTGGTGCACATTCTGATCCCAGGATTACTCCATTCTCTTGCTTCATCCTTCCTTCGTTTTTCACTATCCATAAGCCATCTCTGCATTCATCGGGAATCCATATCATCACTTGGAGGTTATTCCACTGCCAATACCTTTATATTTTCATTAACTTCTTCACTGATTTTTTTTTTTTTTGTTTATACCATTTCTATTATCCTGTCAACCAAGTAATCATTGTACTTACAAGTCATTTTACATTCTCCACTCAATCATTCAATTTGAATAACACAAGAATATTGATTTTATAGAAAAAAAAAAAAAAACGTACTCGAAATTTATGTAATTATTAATTGAAATAAAACATAAATTCGTAGGCTTTTAGTTATTTGGAAACAGTTTGGATTTTTATTAAAAATTTTGAAGCTTTTTAGAAAAATTACGATTAAATGAACATTAAATTTTGATATTCACATTTTATATTTTTTACAAAGTCGATATTAAAATGACAAGGGTTCCAAAAAATTGTCTACATCATTTTTTTTATAATTATTTTTTATAATTCATGAAGCTCAAATCATTTCTTTTTGGAGTTTAATTTTTATTTAATTATAACAAATGTTACTTAAATTCGAACTTTTGTTTTTCCTGTACTTATTTACTTTTAACTAATGCAATAAAATTTTATTTTTATTTCAATATCTAATTAGTTTAATTATCAATTATTTCAGTTCATTATTTTAAATGATACTTGACTGTTTTTAAATAAACTGAATTGGAAAAAAATTGTTTTGTGGTTGAATGAAAATATTTTTTGGTTAAATAAACTGAACTGGTTCACTTTCCTATAAAATCAAAATGGAAAATCCTTTAAATTTCAGTAAGCTTTGAAATAGTCTCTGGAGTGGAAATAAAATTTCAGATGAAATCCAAGTAAAGCGTTTTAAAGCTCATGCTTTTTTCCTTCAAATTACATTTTTCAAAATTATTCTAAAATGTTTTTTCTTCTTTTTTGGACTGATTTAACTCGACTATTAAAGTGAAAAATGTGCTTTTGACTTAGGATCCAATTTAACTATTGGAAAAATTAATCATACAGCAATTTTTAGAGCTTCCTTTTGAATGACTTTTTTCCTCATTTTATCTTATCAAATTATTTCCTACCATTTTCAGTGAATTTCCAATTTGTAAGCATCAATAAATATCAACTAAACTATTTAATCATGTCCTCCAAATAAATGAACAAATCTTGAAGCTTTATAATCATTAACAAATGAATCGAATATCTTTAATTAATCCCATTCTTTATCTCGTTGGGATTTCTTGATGATGTTGCTAGAAACTCTCTAAGTAGTTTATCACACAAGCTAATTTAAAATAGTCTCTTTTGTTTAATTTACTTTCAAGATTGTCTATTATTTCGACTAAGAATTTTGTTTTATTTACTCTGTAGCTTAAGAATAATCGCAGATGAAGGGACAAAAGAGTGAGAAAGAAAAAGAGGATCCACAGTTGTAAGAGCAATCATTACTAAGACTTGTCATCCAAAGCGTCTCTTTTTGTATATTCTAAAAGCTTCTATTATAAACTGAGCATTTCCGCTCTTTTTTATTTTTTTCTTCCTACTTCAAGCTCTACTTTTCTAACCTTTATATTATATACTTTATTATGATTTTATCATACTCTTACTTTCTTTCATTTTATTCTGCTCTTCACACACATCCTGCTTCTCTAACTTTATATCATATCTTTTCTCTAATTGTCATATTCATGTTGCTTGTTTCTAAATCTTCATGTCTTCTTTTTTTTTTTTTTATAAAGATAAGATAGAAGACATTGGATTAAAAGTTTTTTTCAAGGATGTTTAAGTTTAAGCAAGTACAACAAAAATCACTAACTATGCTATCTATAAAATTGAAAAAGATTTTTAAATTACTGTTGACTTTTTGAGTCCTTTTTTTTTTTATTGTCTTTTCAACTTTCACTCAAGTGAAATTATATTAACTCAATGTGTTAAGCAAGAACCATGTTATTGAATTGAAATAGTTTTATTTCAGTTAAATAATACTTTTTAACAATATGTGAGGTTATTAATTATTACATTAATAGGGTTAGTTATAAATAAACAAAATAATTTAAAAACCAATTGGAAATTTTATTAAATAAATAATCAAAATTGTCATTTAAATAATACAAAAATAAAACTATTTGTACGAGTAAACTAAAAAATTTCTATCAAGCTCAGAAATATTCTGCTTTAACACAAAGAAGATCAATCATAGCACAAGTTAGGCAACTTTCTGTTATACACAATAATACGTCTGACATATTCCACAACAGATTCATCTGTTCTCCTCCTATTCTGACATCACATTTTGACTAACTAATTATACAACAATACAATTATTGATTCTACAATTGTCTACATGCTTGCTATTGTATTACTCTACTAAACGAATAACATAAAAACGTTAATTATTGAATTCATTCAACGAAATGTGTTTAATTGCAATTAAATTCTTGTATCTCTAACGTTCAATAGTTCTACGTAAACCCAAAAATTTTATAAAGTTCACTTCCCAAACTATGTAGAGGATATTTTAATTGTCTGTTTAAATAGAATAATAAAATAATTGAATAATTATTGAAATAATTGAACGAAAAATTTATATGAATGAAATAATAAAATATTCATTACTTATTATTTAACATTATTCTGCAGTTATTGCTGTTGTTAATTAGTGGAATAATATGTCAATACTTGCAAATAAATTAATCAACATATTACATTGTAGTTAATTTTTATAACAGTTGATATGTTGTTGGTGTATTTTAATTTTATTTTTAAAAATGGGAAAAAATAAATAGATCATGATTAAACAGCTCTAAAAGGTCCTTAATGATTCATATGTGGTCCATTCAATGTGCATTTTAAATACGAATTTTGTGGCAAAACTCGAAACCGGGATTATTTTTCAAAAAAAAAAAGAATCTAATGAACTGATTTCCTGGTAAAAAAAAGTCAGCTGCGTCATATAATTGTAAAATTAATTTTCGCAATGAACCCAACAAATTTTTTCTTTATACTTTCAGGAACATTTTAGCCACCTCACTTTTTTAATATTCATTTTTATTGTTGAGATATTTGATCTTTAAAGGTCAAAAAAAAATCATTCCGTGTAATAACCACTTTTGTAGGCCCTTAATGTAATAAAGATTGTACACAGCCCATGGGTATTTTTTAATTCATCAATTATTCGATATTGTCAATTTTTCTCCTTCATGCCAAATTTATATTGCTTTTTCTATCATATTTACTGGTATGAAATGCTGCCAATTCGCAACGAGTCACTCTTCATATAAACATTTTAGTTTGTCCATTAAAATTCAATTAAATATTGAAATTACAAACATCTATTACATATTTTTTTTTTAAAAAAGTTTATCGAATTTCGCATCAACTAATTGGACAGTAATCATAAGTACAGATTTAAATTCTACAAAAAAACTGCATTTTTTTTGTTAGCAAATAAATTTGAGCAAAAATATATGTGAACTAGTGGGAAATATTTTTGATATGAAATTGAATTTGTAACTTTGAAAATATTTATTTATCAGCTACCATCATTTTTACTTCAAAGTTTTTTTCTTTTTTTTAAGGTGTAGTTGATGTGAAAGAGTTGCATATGCGAATAACATGTCGACTTTAACATAAATATATTCAGTGACAGAAAATAATTGTACCTGTGTCTTGTACTTTTTATCTAGAGTTGTACTTGATGAAAGAAAAAAAAAATTTACAAGATAGAAGAAAGATAGAATCCCAATTTTACTGTACATTAAACTCTATTTAGTTTCCAATTAACATGAGAATTGAATTGTATTTTTTTTTTGGATAAAAAGAAACTAGTTTAAAGACCAACGAGTAAAGTAGAAATTATTACCAGACTTTTAATTGAAATTTTTTTCTATAATCAAACTAATAATCTTGGCATAGAATTTATTACTAATGGGATCACATTTGAATCTGTTTTCAGAGAAAAAATAAAACTTTATTCTTTTGTGGGTTTTTTAAACTGCTTTTTATGCCAACTGAATTAAATATTGTTTTCAACAGAAAATAAATAAATAAATAAACAAAAGAGAGATTAATTTATATTAATTTCCTACGTTTCTCATCATCAACTTCCAAGTACTTTCGAATTTAACTTGATCATAAAATTTAAATGAAAGAGCACTCATGATAGACGAATCTCAATCGAATATAGTACATTTTTCACCAACACCTTTTTTCCCTCATTCTTTATTCCTTTTTTTACGATTTCCCCAGGTACTTACATTGCTTTCAAACGATTCTACCATGTTTTTGAAACCACTATCGTAATCAGAAACCTACTATCGATTTTTTTTTGTATATATTCTTCTTCGTATTATATTTATTCTCTTTATTCTTCATTCAAGCTCATATTAATTCCATTTACTTTCAATTTTTTAATCCATTACAATTATTTTACTACTTATGAATTATTGAATGTATTATTAGTGATAAGAAAAATTAATTAGTCAGGGAAAAAATGAATTAATCGAAAATATTTTCCTGGAAAAATGAATTTTAAAATTTCATTCTAATTTATTAAACCAGAAAATTCTTTAGTGACCCCAGAAAAAAGTTTTTTTTTTTTGTTGAAAATAGTTGATGTTAATTAATCTTATCTAAAACATGCTCATTTTCATTTAAAAATAGGTCAGTTATAAAATGTGCGTGTTTTCAATTCTACTTTTTCATTACATTAATTAATATTTTTAATAATTTTAAATATCATTCAAGATTATTCAAAATAATTCAGTCAAAATACTAGGACATTAAAAGAGATATTTTATTATCAATTTAAATGAAAGTTTTAAATAAAAAATTCCAACAAGTTCTTTTGAATGTCAAAAAAGTGTATAATAATTTTCTGGTTCAAGAGTTGGGTAATAAATGTCGAAGAGTTATTATGTACATAAAAATATGCATCCACATTTATAAAAGAGTATAAAAGATTTATTATCCTCACTTGATTCTAATCAAAGATTTTTATATGCTCAATAAAATTTGAAAATAAACTAAAGCGGAAGAGGTGTGTGACATATTGTCTGCATCGAAAGTTCCTGACTATTGTCTTTCATTTTTTTTTTTTCATGTCTTTGTGTTCATTCTACTTGGTTTTCTTTCAACACTAATCTTCTGGTGTCTGTTTTATTGTTCCAGCCTCTGATCTAGACTGTATAAGAGCTCTGTTCAATGAAAAAGAGAAAGAATTGTCACTTGCTGTTGCAAAGGTTGAAGAGCTGACGCGACAACTTGAGGAGCTGCGTGGTCGGCACAACGGAAATGCTGTTGGTGGTGGTGTTGGTGGCCAAGTGCCATCAACTGCTAGCGCTGAACTTGAGAAACTTCGCCGAGAACTAATGGTAAAATTTTCTAAATAATGTATTTAATTACAACCATTAATTTACCATGAATCTCTAATAAATATCTACTAATTTATTTTCTAAACATTTCAGTACCGGAATAAAATGAATGAACAACAGAACCAAGTGGTATCCCAGCAACGATTAGTCCTGGCTCAAAGGCAAGCTGAAATGGTATCAATAGACGCGAGAATAGCACAGTTACAGGGTCGTCTTCAACGGAAACGAGCACTTAATCAACGTCTTCTCAGTCAGCAGATAGCAAATAATCGTCAGACCAGCTCGGCATCAACAACAACTACATCCTCCACTACTACTACCATGACACCGTGTATCACGGATCAAGTGAGCAAACAACAGGATTTCACCAATGCACCAAAGCTAAGACCAGCTGGCAATATTGCAGCCATCGAACCATACAGTCATATTCCTAACGATAATGATTTTAATCTCAATAAAAACGATCCTAAATATCAAACACTGCCCTATAATACGAAATTTGCGGTAAATCTCAAACCTATAGAAGATGATGTTAATAAAAATAAAATCCAGCATAGCCAAAGTGCATCACAAATAAATCAACGTTCAAATATTCAACAAATGGGACATTCTATTTCGCACAGTCAGTCTCAATCTCATATTCAAGGTATATATTTTCATACTTTTATTAACGTGATACTTGTTACATTTTATTTCATTCATTCAAAATTAATTGATAAATATATTTTTTTTTTCTATTTCAGCTCAGTCGCAGTTAGGAATAAATCCGTCGTCAGTACAACACTTGCAGTCTGCGCAATATTCCAGTTCACAAAGTTTTACTACACAGTCTGGAAATTTCACAGTACATTGTCCCAAAAATACTACCAATAACAATACTACTACTTCGACAAACAACAATAATAATATTGTTAATAATAATAATAATAATAGTGTCAACAACAATAATAATATCAACAATAGTAATGATAATAATAGTGGTAATAATATTAATATTGATAATAATGTTAATAATAACAATAACAGTAGTGGTAATGTTAGTAACAATAATAGTAATAACGGCAGTAGTAATAATAATCTTCAAATCAATGGAAATAATAGTGGATTAGTAAATGTGACTCAAGAAAATCAAAATCAGTCTATTTTAAGGCATCAAAATCATCAACAAATTTCTTCAAATACTCAACAAAAACAATTATCGAAAAATTTATCGTCAAATATTGATAATTTAGATTTAAAACAATCTACAACACAAGCTCATAATTTTAAGAATCTTCAAAACCATCAAAAACCAGTATCAAGTGTTGCACCAAGCTTTCCTGTCAAGTCACCTATTTATCAAACATCTTCAACCAAAATCCATCCGGTAATGCCTCAAACACTTAGTTTGATTAGTCGAGCTCACTCTGGATTGCAGAGTTATTCGGAACAATCGAATACTCCACATTCAAACGTTCAGAATCAACAGCAGATAATAGTTACAACGGAGTCTAGTTATCCGACTAGACATGCTTTCCAGCAAGGACAATTTCCTCAGAACTACAAAAATTCTACTAATTTCCCACAAACAGGTCTTACTAATTTGGCCAATTTTCCCGGATACTCTTCATCTAATATTACCCAAACTCAAAATATTAATTCCATCCAAGAGAATTCAAACATAGATAGAGTCAAATTTGATGCTAAAAGTCAAGAAAAGCACGAAAACCAACAAATAAAATCATTTGATAATAACAAACATGATCAAGTAACTCAAGCAAGATTCGAAGGTTCAACTAAGCCGGATTCCATCCAACCTTTAAAGTTTGATCACACTCAATTATCAATGACTCATCAATATGGAAAGCTCGATCAAGTTGATGGTAAATCAACGTCAAAATATGACCATAATACTCAGTACAAACACGAATCTCACAAGTATGATGCAACGTCAAACTTCCAACAATTTAAACAGCCACAACAACAATTACAGGATCAAGGTAAATATGATGTGTCGACAACAAAGGCTGAAATTGCGTCACAAAAATATGAAACTAACCAACAATCGATGAAACATGATCATAATACAAAGCTTGAACCTCCAACAAAATTATCGGATAAACCATACGAGTATGAGAGAACTAACACTGAAACTGAAAGGAAAACCATCAACCAATTTGAATCTAAATCCGAGGACAAGATGAAACCAGCACTTCCACCAAAACCCATTAAGCCTAGTCCACCGCCTAGGTTGAACAGTCAAGATAAGCTCGAAGTTTCTGCTGATACGACAACGGAAGGGAAATCTTCTATTTCTCCAAGGTATCAAATTTTCTTCAATTCTTTAAATAAACTTTTGGTATCTCTAGAAGAATCAAATAAGAAAATAATTCCTCTAATAAATCCTACATTTTTTAATTACTTCTTTTTTTTTATTACTAATTAAACGTCGTTTTACCAGACATTACGACGCCGATGAAATGTTAATTATTGTATTAGAAAGGACGTAGGTGCGAAGAATATGAAATATAATAATTATTATTCATAGGTTCGTCGCCTTTCGTTATTGATTTTGAACGTACTTCTGCTACTTTAACTAAATACCATGTAAATTAATTAGGTAGTTAATTATAAATGTTAATTAGTCCACGATCGATTTGGCGAGTGAGTCGTAGCTTGTCTCGAATAAATAGACACCGAAATAGAACAACTACAATGGTCGTAGTACAATAGTTTACACAGTCAGTAATCGCATGGCTATCGTCGACATATTAAAATAAGAAATTATTTTGTATTACGAGAAACCAATTATAAAGTATATTTCAACTTTATAAATAATGTGTGATTAATAATTCAACATTTCATTTGTTCCAACTAAAATTGAAGTGATTGTCTGTAAAATATATGTAATCCAAGTTCTTGTGAATAATTCATAATATTAATTGATTCCAGGAGCGAAAAAGAAGAAGAAATACCTCCAATTCCAACAAGTGAACCACCAGAATCACCAAACGAAACAGTTCTCGGAAATCATCAGGTTATTAAAGCACGACCGCTTACATCAAAAAAGACTTTTTTATCTGAACAACCACGTCTACGATATCCAAAATCGAATGTTCATGTTTCTATAAATCGAAGGATTGAAATGCCTCCAGCTTTTCTTTTTCCTGAGACGGAAATTCCTGCTGATCTTAAGCTTACTGAACAGCCACAACAGCAACAACAACAACAACAACAGCAAACACAGTCAACACCAAATATTACTGATGTTACTGATCATAGCAATATCAAATCAATTTCAGTATTGATTGCTGATGAGCCCAGTAACGACAAGTTGGAAGATTCGGATATTGTTGAAGCGTTAAACGTAATCAACATTGAAGATAAATTAAAGATAAAAGATTCAGATAAGAAACACGATCTTGAAGCAGACTCTAAATCAATAGAAGTGATTAGAAGAAAAAAGGGAAACCTTAAATCCACAACGGGGAAAGCAAATTTATCGAGAAGGGTCTCATTCGACCCACTCGCACTTCTTCTTGATGCCAGTCTTGAGGGTGAACTTGAGCTGGTTAAAAAGACTGCAAAAGAAGTTGCTAATCCTAGCTCTGCCAATGACGAAGGGATCACAGCACTTCATAATGCTATTTGTGCTGGACATTTAGACATTGTTAAATTTCTTGTTGAATTTGGTTGCGATGTCAATGCTCAAGACAGTGATGGATGGTAATTTTTCTATTAATTACTCATGTTTTTAAATATTTAGTGTTTGAAATTTATTGAAAGAGTATTATTATTCATTTGTTTTTTTTTTTTTTAATTATCTAGGACACCTTTACATTGTGCTGCTAGTTGTAACAATCTAGCTATGGTGAGATTTCTGGTTGAACATGGAGCTTGTATTTTCGCCACAACATTATCAGATCACGAAACTGCTGCAGAGAAATGCGAAGAGGACGAGGAAGGATTTGATGGATGCTCCGAGTACTTATATAGTAAGTTTTATTATTATTTTTAATATACTTCAATTGTTATTTGAAATTATTTATATCAATATTAAATTAAAAAAAAAAACTACTTTCCAGGTGTTCAAGAAAAATTAGGTATTATGAACAATGGCCAAGTATTTGCCGTGTTTGATTACGAAGCACAACATAGCGATGAATTGTCATTGAAGAATGGAGATCAGTTGGTTATATTGCGGAAAGGAGATGACAATGAAAGAGAATGGTGGTGGAGTAGGCTTGGACATAGAGAAGGATATGTCCCTCGCAATTTGTTAGGAGTAAGTTTGGTCAATTTTATTTGAAACTTTTAATATAAGTTAGAGTTCTGAATTTTTATAAGCCTCTTCTTTTATTGCAGCTTTATCCCAGAGTTCAGCCAGCTAAAACGGAGTAAAATGTGACGACATATCTGCATGAAATTTTTATTTTATAATATATTTATCACCACAGTATTCAATTTGCAGCTTTATGGTTTTAAATATTTGTAATAGTGTATGTTAATGTTGCAAATTAACAATATTATTTAATTCTTGCGCTCTCATAAGAGGCCGAAATCTTACAATTTTTATTAGCATTTTTATGTGTCAATTGAATTTCGAATTAAATGTAAATGGTGAGCATAAATCTTTTTTCTGTACTTAAAAATACAATTGCTACTTGAAGTAAATTTAAAATTTTTTTTAATTAACACATTTACTCCAAGAGGCAAAAAAGTTATATACATTTTTATTTGTGAAAAGAGAAGATTCTTGCTAATTTGGAATAGCTTATTTGTTTCATCTAAATGTATTTGTTTAGTTGAATTCAAATGGCATTTTATCTTCCATTAAAAGAAAAAAAAAAATTCATTGTTACTTAAAAAAATTTTTCTGATCTGACGAACGTGTGATCTCAGATCTGAAAAATGAATGTTGATAAATTTATTTTTCAAGCTTGCCAATCGAAGTATAAATATTATTATAATAAATAATAAATTTATTTTATTCACTATTAGTAACGACAAGTATTACGCGGTTAATGTGCGTTGCAATATATATATATAAATACATATATATGTATGTTTTTCTTTTTTTCATTGTTGAAAAATTCATTTAAGAAATACTTAAAGAGACTGCAATAGTAAGAAAACTCAGTAAAAACAGTGATGCGTGTTTGCGACTATTTTATGTATACGAAAATATACGCACGGCCTATTCTGAATCAACTTTTAAACCAACAAAAAATGTGTGCCTTTAAGAAGAGTATAACAACATAATGTAAGATTGCACGTATATTACTGAAATAAATTGTTTTCATAAAAATTTGTATTTATTAATTTATTTATTCTAACTTAAAAAACTCTCATAAAATATTCTGTAATTTTATTTGTGTATATTTTTTGGTGATAATTATTCGACAAATGAGTTAATTAAATAAATCTATAAGTTTAAAAAAAAATAAATAAATCATGTAATTATGAATTGTAATATACAGATAAAAATATCAAGTAAATTCTATATGATAACTAAAATAAAAATCTACATATATTTTCTTTTTGATACCTAACTCATTTCTGGTTTGTATTTTCTTTTAACATAAGATACAGAAATTCGATCAGGAAATCTTACAAACATGTACGTATGTATATAAAAAGTCTTTGGATTCGAAGGATTTTTTGCAATAAATATCAAGATTTTGCGCCTGTCCGTGAAAACACCAGAGAAAACGTATATAGAATATGGAACAACCCCTATATAAGGGAGAAACTTGTTATGAAACGTCAGACGCAATCCAGTGTCCGAGTTGATAACTAGTCAGTAACAACTGACGTAAATTTTACAATAATGCAGATTACTTTCGAACAGTTTAAATTATCAATATTTATTCTAAAAATTCTCTACACAATTACCATATTTAAAATAGAAACCATTTGTTTATACGAAATGTCAGGTGCGCAAATCTTCAGTGAATTTATCAACTCATTTAATTTGAAGTTTTAAGATTAATTATACAAATGAAAACATAACTTTTTGCATCATTTATTTAACAACTCTTCATGAATAATTAAAAGAAAAAAAAATTATCTTTTCAACTCATTTATTATAGGGTTTAATAACTGTTTAAGAAGAATCTTTTTTCTTTAGCAAAGGAATCATACATTCAAACTTATAACGTTGGAGTTTTAATGGCATCACGTCTGGATAGTCCCTTCGATGTTGAACGATGTGGACCAGCAGTGGATCTAGCTCTTGCTGAAGTCAATGAATTCTTAATCGTTCATAATGTTCAACTTCAAAAAGTTCAAGCTAGGTATTATAATTAATATTTTTAGGTAATTGTAAATATTTATCTTCAATTTATCATTTTTTAACTTGAATATAATTACATATAATATCATCATAAAATGAAATACTATTTAGTTTGACATATCTATCTCAATTGTTATATAAAATAAGGTCCAGGTAGCTCTAAAGACTACATCTGAAATGGAAATAGAGGGATCATACCCTCAGGAGACTTTCAGATGATATAAATTTAGATGGAAAAATAAAAAATTTTCATATTATTAAATAAAATATATAAACGCAAATATTTTATTTAAATAAAAATCTTAATTTAGATACTTTTGAATGTAATCATTTGAATAATTATAGATTTAACAATAGAAATCTAATTGCTTGGATGTATAGCATCATTAACATAAACATTATGAAACTTGAATATGATTGAATAGACTAATAGACATACAATCCTGCTGGAGCACGTGCTAGAGACATTACAACTCCACATGTGTATGTCATATGATACGAGTAAATTAATCAAATGTGGAGTAAGATTTTTTGCTCATAATATTAAGTAATTTTTTAAATAATAATTCATGTAATATTATGTTGTCACTTGACAGTTTATTGCTGATAAATTTAATTGAATATTAATGGATGTTTTACAGTTATCCGTCATGTAGCGGTGCTAGAGCACCCGGTTTAGCTGCTGACATGCATTTTCGCGATAATGTAATTGCATTCATAGGCCCTGCTTGTGCATTTGCTTTAGAACCTGTTGCGAGACTTGCTGCTTATTGGAACACTCCGATTATTACTGGCATGGGTGATCAAGTGAGTTTTTTATGCAAAAAACATGAATGAGTTAACTTTATTATGAAAAATAAAATTAAACATTTACAAACCAGGTCTTTTACTTGAATACATAGTGAGATAAAAAAAATGGGTCTGGGTTCACTTTATGTTCTGACGACGAACTTACCATTCATTGAAATCCGTTATTTTGTCATCTTTCAATTTTTTTTTTTTTGTTTATAACAAATTGTCATTGTTATAAACAATGTACAATTGCTTAAACACATTCAATTATTATTAACAACATTTCATTGATATTTATCTAATACAATTATATTCATAATAATTCAATAAATAAAAATTATTTTTAATTGTTTATAACAAATATTTATTTTTAAAGCTTTTAATATGCTTTTAAATTTTTTAAAATGTAAAGATATGACACAATTATGAATTTCGAAAAGGGTTTTTTTATTTTAAATAAGTATTTTTAATAAATTAAAATTTATTGAATCTCATTTGTCTTGAAAATCAATTTCAATAATTAAAAGTGAAGATTCGAATAAAAATTACTCAGCATTGGATAACTTTTAAAATATCACTTCATTATATCTTTTTGACATATAGCCACCCTCTGAAGGTGAACTCTCAGTGACGTCTGGTATCCTAGGTAGACTTCATAAGTGGAAAAATGAAAGTTCTGTAAGTTTAAGAAAAGTCTCACGTTTCTTTACTCTCATATTTTCTACATGTTTGTGAACAACAATTTATTTGATATCTTCTAATTAGAGCATGGCTTTTTATTCATAATAATATACTTGACTAATTAATTAAAAGTTTAGTACATTTATAAATTAAAATGAACATTGATCATTTTTCTAGGGTATCTTTAAAGATAAAAGTAAATATCCAACACTCACGAGAATGTCTTATTGTCAATGTCGACTTCGATTGGTATTTGCAAGTATATTTCGAGAATTTGGATGGTCTCATGTAGCATTAATTCTTGATAAATCTGATCTCTTCTCTTTAACTGTGGGAAAAAATCTGGAATATGGATTACGGAAAGATGGTCTTTTAAAATTTATCCGTGAGCTTGATGGTAATTCTGAAGATGATGCTTACCATTTATATCTAAGAGATGCTAGCATGTATGCTAGAGGTAATTAATTATTTAAATTTTAGTAAATTATTTTAAACAAGTAAATAGTTAATGAGTCAAATAAAATTAATATAATTAAAGTGGTTATTCTGAGTGTTCGAGGAACTCTGGTTCGAAGATTTATGCTTGCTGCTCATGCTTTGGGTATGACAAGAGGTGACTGGACTTTTCTTGATGTAGAAATTATTCAGGTAATGGTGCTAAAATGATTTTCCGTCATAAAGCAGGCTTTTTCATGCTCATAATTCATTTATAGGGCTCTTATTGGGGCGATCATGATTGGGAAATTGGTGATATTGAAGATGCAGCAGCTCGAAAAGCATATGAAGCTCTTTTAAGAGTTTCTTTGTTACAACCAACCAGTCCACGTTTTCAAGATTTTGCTGAGGATGTCAGAATTCGTGCACAAACTAATTATAATTATACATTCTCTGATGGAGAAGAAGTGAATTTTTTTATTGGAGCCTTTTATGATGGAGTTTATCTCTTGGGGATGGCTTTAAATGAAACATTAACCGAAGGTGGAGATATACGTGATGGTTTAGCTATGACTAAAAGAATGTGGGGTCGTAATTTCATGGGTATTACCGGTCACGTTAGGATTGATGAAGATGGTGATCGTGATGCAGATTATAGCATTCTTGATCTGGATCCAATTACTGGAAGGTTTGCATCTGAGATTCATTCATAATTGCTCGTAAATAGACCATTTTTTCAAACACACATATATTATTAAGGTTTGAAGTTGTAGCTCACTATCTAGGACTCCATAGAAAGTACAGTCAAGTATCGGGAAAGAAGATACACTGGCCTGGAGGTAGAGAAGGTCCACCACCTGATATTCCTGAATGTGGATTTCTTGGTGATGATCCAACATGTGCTTTAAAAACTGAAGCTTACACTTTTATTCTCTACTCCAGTTGTGCTCTTGGTATTTTTCTTTTTGTTATTACAACATCAGCATTCCTTCTTTATAGACACTTTCGTCTTTCTGCTGATCTTAATAACATGAGTTGGAGAATAAGACCTGAAGAATTATTACTAGAAGTTAGCAAAACTTTTTCTTCTAAAATAAATCTTCATCAAGCAGTTGCTGAGGCAAATGTAAATAATTTTATTATTAAATATCATAATAAAAAATTTTCATTCAAGTATGAATAATAATTTGATATTTATAGAATTTTGGATTGGAACAAAAACGACGTGGATCCCAATTAAGTGGTGATTCATTAGGTCCAACAACTGTTTTTACGAGTGTAGGTATTTATAAAGGTGAAAGAGTAGCAATTAAAAAAGTTACAAAAAAAAAAGTTGTTGATGTTACGAAAAAATTACTGTGGGAAATAAAACAAGTCCGGGATGTTACATCGGAAAATACTGTTAGGTAAAATTTCATTTAGCTTTAAAATGAAATGACATAGATTTTTTTCTTTCTACTGATTTAATATATCGTTACTTGAATAGATTTATTGGAGCTTGTCTTTGTTCTCCATCTCCTACAGTATTAATTCTCACAGAATATTGTCCAAAGGGATCTTTGAAAGATGTTCTGAATAATGAAGAAATAAAACTTGACTGGAATTTTAGAATGTCTTTGATCCACGATATAGTCAAAGTAATAATTATTAACTTTCTTATATTTAATTAAGTAACTTTCAACCATCATTATAAGCTTTCAAACAAATTATTAATGTTTTCATTTAAAATTAATAATCCAGGGTATGGATTATCTTCATGCAAGTGAAGTAATTGCTCACGGTAAATTAAGGTCCTATAACTGTCTGATTGATGGACGCTTTGTTCTGAAAATCTCTGATTTTGGTCTAAAAACTCTCACAACTCCAGCAGACTTGATTATTGATGATAACTATTACACAAGTTAGCATAATTTATAACTTTCATTCATAAACATGATTGATGTTAGTAATTTACATAATACATACATTGTCATTTTGATCCGTAGAACTTTTATGGATTGCTCCTGAATTATTATCACAAACAGTATTACCAGGAAGTGCAGCGTCACAAAAAGGAGATGTTTTCAGCTTTGCGATTATTTTAGAGGAAATTATATTACGTGGTGGTCCATATGAAGTAGCTAAAGTTTATATGACTTCACAAGAAGTAAGTTGATCCTTTATTAATGTATTATATATCATGACATGATAATATAGTTCTATTTTTATATTTATCTTTGTTGACAAGATAGTTAATCGTGTCTCAGTAGGAGAAAATCCTTGCTTTAGACCAGAAGTCCAATCGAAAGATTGTCCTCCTGACATTTTAGCTCTCATGAAACGATGTTGGAGTGAAATACCAGAGGATAGACCTTCGTTTCAAACAATTCGAGGGATTATACGTGGCATCATGAAGTAAAATTTAACATTAATCCTATGTGTATCCTAGATTCTGTAAATTATTACTTAGCAAAAAAATAATTTTTCCTTAATAGTCTAGTTTATAATCTTTAATTAATTTTATTTCTTTTCAACAAGAGGCTATTGTGAAAATTTAATGGATGATCTTCTAAGAAGAATGGAGCAATATGCCAACAATCTTGAAGCTTTGGTGGAAGAAAAAACTGAACAGTTAAGTTTAGAGAAACGTAGGAGTGAAGAATTGTTATACCAAGTTCTTCCAAGGTAAATGAAATTTATTATCTACTCAACCTTCTTGTTGTTATCAGTATCATTATTATTCCCATTTGTTTACAATAAATATTTACAACAAATACAGACAAGTAGCTGCACAATTGATGGCTGGTGAACTAGTCCAGCCAGAACAGTTTGAATGGGTAACAATTTATTTTAGTGATATTGTTGGATTTACATCTTTATGTGCTCAGAGTACACCGATGCAAGTGGTGGATTTTTTGAATGATCTCTACAGTACTTTTGATCGTATAATAGGCTTTTATGATGTTTATAAAGTTGAGACTATCGGTGATGCTTACATGGTAGTCTCAGGATTACCTCAAAGAAATGGTGATGAGCATGCTAAGGAAATAGCTTTAATGGCTTTGACTATTCTTGATGCTGTTAAATCGTTCAAAATAGCTCATAAACAAGATACCCAACTGAGCATCAGAATTGGAGCTCACAGTGGGCCTGTATGTGCTGGAGTTGTAGGACAAAAAATGCCTCATTACTGTCTCTTTGGAGATACCGTAAATACTGCATCAAGAATGGAATCAACTGGTTTACGTAAGTTATATATTTAAAGTTAAAAATATAATTTTTATTGAAGATTTAAAATCTTATTTATGTCTTACAGCTCTAAAAATACATGTGTCAGAGACTACAAAAAATATTCTAGATAAATTTGGTACATTTGAGTTAGAACTTAGAGGAGAAGTTGAACTTAAAGGTAAAGGAACCGTTACATCTTATTGGCTTATTGGTTGTTCAAGTTCTGATCCAAGATTATCATCACCAAAACTTCGCAAGTACAGCATGAGCCCACCAGATAATGGATCCACACTTAATCCACTAATATTCCCTCAAAATATTACAAGTGTTGGAAAAGTAGCTAATAATACTTTTATTAATTTATCTGAATTATCAAATAATTCATTAATGGAATAAGTTATTTAAGTGAAATTTGAATTTATTGAAATTTATTTAATCCATAATTACAATGATCTTTATAGAAAACCTTTAAATAATCGAATAAATGTCTATGAATAAAAAAATGGATATTAGTAAAGGAACATATCTAAATGTTAAAAATATCATCTATACAAATATAAAATAAAATAATTCAAAATAAAAACAAAATTCTTTTTTTCATTACACTAAACTTAAAAAAAAAAAATAATTCTTCATTGTATCAAACAAAGTTATGTATTTATATGATGATATAAATGTGTTGATTATATTTGTTGTTAATATATCAAATTGATGATAATAAAAAAAAAACCAAATTAAATAAAACAATCAGAGTTTCAACTAACTGATATATAATATATCTAATAAATTTCAAAAATGATAATAATGTATATAGATATATCTATATATAAATTTTGTGTATGTATATTTTATATACATTTTTTTCCCGGCAGGATAGCGAATACTCTATGAATTCGACTATTTGGACACCAAAAACATAATAAGCCTGTAAATGGGAATTATTCAATCATTATATAAAATCAAGTATAATAAATAATTCGTTCAATTAAATATAAAGTTTGAAAAAGTATTGAAAAATACCGAAAACTTATTGCCTTCGCAGCTAATAGTCTGTTACATTCTGCTGTATCCGGAAGTGGTAACGGTAGATATGGACTCTCATTATCCTGTTCAGTAAAATCGAATCGATGGATCCGAGGTTGAACTTTCATATCACCAAAAGGTCCTTTTAATATCAGATAATGTATTGCCAATGGAAAGGTGGTTTTTGTTTTTAAGATCAGCTATTATTGGAAAATGATTAATATTAATTAGCTGGTCCATATATTGGTATCAACAAAAAGAGTTATAATTGAATAATTAAACGAACTTGATAGGTCATATCTCGTTCAGAACTTTGTGTAGGATCTCGTTGACTATTATTGATTCTAGCTTTTACAACCCATTGATGATTAAATGCCGAGAAACGAGCTGTTTCATAAAATAATTTATGAACGAATTCATCTGTACGATATGGCTTCATTTGTAAATCTAAAAATATTTGAATGCAAAATAAATGAATAAAAAGAAGTTCTGTTAGATCGATAAATGAATTAAAGAAGATAGAATGATCACAAATTTTTATGATGCTTGATATTTAAATACACTATGGTGTTTAACAGTCATTCAAAATTATATGCAAGTGAATGATGAAATTATTCCACATATTTATTCATAAAAAAATTAAACATTTCATTTTGCTTGCATTAATGTATACTTTATGATGACGTTTCATTTTATGATGATGATGATAAATGGTTCAAGTGACATAGTTGAATGCAACAACTATTACTGCCCTTATCGAAAAAATAATGACCCAATCTAATGTCTATAATAGTTAGTTATTTAACATAAATGATGTCATTTATTCAAGTATCAAGAGCCATAAAAATAGGTAAAAGACCAATTAATTTGTGATCATTCTTTAATAGACAATAATCAGACCATTAAATGTTATCTTTTCGTAAGACAGAAGCTCGAAAATATTATCATAGTGCTTGCGTTCTTCTAAAGTTCGAGCATCAATGTCACGAAGTGCTTCCATAACATCGGCTCCGGTACGATGTGGATGAACACAATGAGCTTCGTGCTCAGCACCTTCGTGACTGGGTCCTCGCCAAGGACATCCAATTCTGCTGTACTTGCAACTTGATATTCTAACGAGATAATCACCGTTAGAGTTATAGATTGTAACTTTTGTCTAAACATGGTGTCAATTTAAAATTACCTTTCTTCACATAACGAATCTTCATGACGTTCCAAGGAATTCCTTGGGAATTCCCTGGCACAAAATTGACATTCAGCTGGTAATTCAGACACAGCTTTTTCAACAGCTAAATTACGTGATGCTGAAGTTTTACTAATTTCAATTCTGCAATTTGGACATGTTGCCAGCTCATCTCGCAATCTTGCATCTGCCAGAACATGAGTAAAGCAACCGGCACACATCAAGTGTCCATTGATACACTGTGAACATGATTACACACAGAAAGAATATTATTAACAGGTGTAAATGGTATGTAGGAACATGAATAATCATCAATGAGAAAAATACATTTTATTAAAAAGCCATTAGATAATCTCATTGATAATTATTATTGTTTAAATTCTAATTCGCGTTAATAATTAGCCAAACTATGTTTATACTTTTTACCGTGTTTCGATGTTTATTTTACTATCTGAAACACAAAATCGTATGGGGACTATTAATAAAATCATATAAACACTTATGAGATAATAGTGACTAAAATTTAAAGAGTTATTGCTTGAATTATTAGGATTTTAATCAGGGGAGGATTATGGTATTGAGGATTAGAAAATATTAAAGGTCGCAGTTATTGTACGTAAAAAAAACGTTTATTTTTTTAACCTTTAACTTCATTTATTTAATTTTAATTTTTTTTTCACTTATGTACTTTACATTTAATACAAATCAGTAATTAAAATTCCGCTCTCTCACTCTCACACTGTAGGTAACACCACTTTGTGCCCATATTTAATTGTGTTTTATTACTCAGAATAATAAGTATATTATATTAATGTGTGTTTTATTTATGTAACAACTATGATTAGCATACATAATTTTTTTCATAATTGATTTTTATTTTATTCTTTTATTTTATTTTCTTAAACTTAATCTATTGCGCAGTACAAATTTAAGCTAATAACTCATTCAGCACAATAAACACTGACTGCACTAACAAATTACAAATTCATATAAGAGAATCAGTACTCGATAAATTACGACGCAATTAAATAAAAAAAATTTCAAAAATTAATTATCATTATTATTATTATTGTATTACACTACTCGCGATTAATTAAATTAACTTGCTTAAAAAAAAAAAGTGAAATTATTTTGCCGATAAATGTATCATACAAATAAATTATAACTAGTCAATATAATTAATTACGATGAATCAGTATTAAAATATTATGTCAGTAGACGTAATAGTACATGGAAATGGCTTACCTGGTAAACGGCCGATCTAGGAAGATCGAGACATACAGCACAACAAAGAATTCCACCCAAACGATGTTCCAATTTTTGTTCTGTTTTGCCATCTTGCTTTAATAATTTACGCCTCTTTCGATCAGGCTCTAAAAAATCTTCAGGCTTTTCAACCTCCTCGCGAATAGTTGGTTCTGAAACACTACTTGATGATGAAGCTTCACCACTTTGATCAGCCATCTTTCTTGTTTTGATTTTTCCTGATCAAGAGAGAGGTGTACGTAAAACGCGCACGCGTCTTTATGTTCTTTCTGTCTTGCTCTTTTTTTACTCTAATTTTTCTTTGTGCCTTATCTCATATGTTGGTTCTTTTCAACTTGACTTTAATCAACTTTTTAATTATTCTGATGTAACAATTTTTTTCTACCAATCACTTTGACATAGATAAACAATAAATACAATGTAAATAAACCCACATATGTATTTATTTATAAATCAGAATGTATGCTATAAAATTGTCAAGACGATCGATCATCGACTTGTGCGCACAAAATTTAACCAACGACAAAAACTTGAATGCAATTCCTGTCAAGATTCCTTGATGACGTAAACCAACAGCTGGTTGTCTACTTTTATGTGACAACTTTGGTACCTACCCGTTCACAACTACAATTGTTCGTTAAAACTGATATTAATGTGTAAGTAGCCGTGTATGTTCATAAACGAAGAGCGAGAAACTGACAGGGTTATCCCTTCTCCAAATCCTAACATTCTTTCTTTTCTCCCCCACTATCGTATATATTACAACTTATATTCATCCTCTGCATCATTCTATTGCTAAGTGTTTTTTTTTTCTCTTCATTGCAATCATTTGAATTAATTAAATATTTATTAGGAGAAAGATTCAATGAAAGTAATAGGTTATGTATATAAGTAGTAAGAGAGAGATTAAATCAAGTTTTAATATGTAGCCCAAAAATATTTAAAAAAGAATTCAATGATTTTTTCTTTGTTTCGAAAAAGAACTTTCGTTTGTTGTAATTTATGTAAATAAAATTAATATTCAGATAAAAATACCTATGCGTTTATTAATATTATTATCATTTTATTAATTTACATGGTAAATTAACATCATTGTGATTTATATTTTATTCTATAAGATAACAATTATAAATTAATTAATGAATATTGCTTTTCTACAAAATCTTTATTCAAAAAACAAAACAAATAAATAATTAAGTACTTATTTATAGATCATCTACTCTTCATTTATTTATACTTATTTTATAAATTTTTTATTTCTCTTAATCATTCATTAATTACGAACCTTAAATTATCTATATATTTCTTCACATAACTTGTATATTTATTAAAAGCTACTCCTGAATACTGGAAATATTGGTGCGTAAAGTAAAATCAGAAATATTTAAGTATTCAGTAATATGTACAATTGACACAAAAAATATTGTAATACTTCTCTGTTGAAATTTTTTACATTCTTATAAATATTATGAAAGGATAGAGAGTTGTTTTTTTTTTTTTTCATTACTTCTCATAACTTATACATGGACCAAAAAACTCATTAGAAAGTATTGGGCTAATGATTTTTATCGAAACATCAATTTATAAATTATTATATCTAATCACTTCCAAAAAAAAAAATTAATCTTTACACAGGATTTAAAGAATTAACAAGTTCTGAATCAGTATGACTCATATTGCATTTCTGCCAATGCTTTAATAATCTTGCATCTCTCAACGAGTGCGTTGTAAGTTATGGAATAACTTTTTCTTGTGATATATTCACGGGTAATGTGATTTGTGGCTGTTCACTTGTTTTAGATACTAGATTCTGCTCGTTATTTTTCATATTTTGAGAAGAATAAAGCATCATGTCTGTTGAATTTTTTAAACGATTAAATGCTTGCTCTAGTTGTTGTATTTTATCAGTTAAATCACCATCTAGTGTTTTAGCAGTATTAATCTGTAAAAAAAGGATGCATCAAAAAAAAAGTTTTAATAAATTTTTATTAAACTCGAAATAATTCAATGTTTTAATACCTCATTATTTATTTTGTCGATCATGGTGAGAATACTTTTGTGTTCAGACTCTTTAGTACATTCTGCTTCTAAAGACATTATTTTCATGCTTGCATTTTGACTCATATCCTGAAGTGATTCCAACATCCGCTAAATATCACAATAAAAATTATGCAGATGTTTGTAGAATTAAATATATTAATTAAGATAAATTTGACTTACATGATCTTTCTTTTGATCTTCTTGAATCCATTGTAGACTTCTTGTAAATGTTTCGTTGATATGAGATAGATTAGTTTTTATTTGCGATACTGTATGACTTAACTGTTCAGCTTGGATCTTGGATTCATTCGTTGGCATTGCAGAATGTTCTGTGACTTTGGATAATTCCTCAACTCTATGCTATAAGAAACAATATTGTATTTTAACATTAATATTAAACTTGGTACATTTTGATAATAAAATTAATTAATATCTCATGAAAATAATTATTACCCCAATATTAGTAATATTTTGTTGAAGATTTCGTTGAATATCTTGCACTTTAGATTCAGTCTCTTTTAAATTACCCACTGTTATTTCTAAATCCTGAATTTTACTACCAAATGTAGCTACACTATTGCCAAGAGCATTGAGATTTTTTGGAACGTTAGTTAATTCCGGTGCTCCATCTAATAATTCTTGGATTTTATGGAGACCTTGTTGAATATTTGATAACTATAAAAATATTATTTAAATTAATTCCCTTAAATATTTATGACTAGAATATATTTTTTATAAAATATATTCAAAAAATAAAAAATACCTGAACTGTAAAATTGGATATTTGAGCTTTAACACCAGATAATTGTGTAAATAGAACAGTTTGATTATTTTGTAGGTCTTTAGAAAGAGAATGGCACTTTTGTAAAGCATCTGGAACTCCTTCACTGCCAGCAATTGCTGTAACAAACAATGTAAATGAATGTTTAATTATTTAATTGTAATTAATGTTTCATTGTTCTGTTCTGTGAGAAGTTTTTCAATGTTATTAATTCAATTATTTTTAATAAAGTAAAGTTGAATAGCAAATGAAACAGATGTGAAATTTATTTCTTCTGAAATTCCTCGTTTCTTCTTGAATTCCAATACCTTGGTCGACTTCTGTCCTAAGAGCAGTCAACTGTTGACGTACATCTATGAAAAGCCAAATAAGACTTGCTGTGGCAAGCACTGATGCACAGCCAAAAAATGCACTACAAGCTTTTAATAAACCAGGGCACGTGCGATTTCTTCGGGTTCTTCCTTTACGATTGCCTCGAACTGATACATTCCAATACTCAGAGCGTTCATCACTGCTGTCTGTTAGCAATTCCTAGATAATAAAACAGTACATTGTAATTCGAGAAATAATTTTAATATTTTTTATCAATTAACACAATTTTTAAATACCTGGGAGCTCCGTTTGCCAGATACTCGTCGAGAAATAACGTGTGAAGATGCTAAAGCATCAAGTTCTTTACGTTTTTTCATCTTTTTCGTTGGTGGCCGAAGAGGCACAGTTACAGCCACTGAGTCCATCGTCATTTAAACTAGTGTATTTTATCAGATTATTTCTTATTTTATTTTATGTACACAACTGCTAACTTAATGATATATAAGAAGTATAATCATTTATAACAATTGTCAAATTTAATGTACATCTATTTACATAAAACCTTGAGTTACCTAACACAATATAAAAAATAACTGCGTCAACTATATTCTTTCACTATTATTTGACTTTTTTACAACTTAACTTTGAGTTCATTTTGTGATTAGTCACGATTTTTCTGCATTTAGAACAACTTTTTTATGTTTATTATCTTCCTGTCGTTTATCATTTACGTTAATTCAAGTGATACTTGTTATTCTTATTATATAAAACCTAAAAATTGCTTTCACGTTCTATCATATATTGAATGAATATTTTGAAACTTCCAATGAACCTCTTATCACTTGTTCGGTATGTTTGGTTTGTGCTTAACTATGAATAACTTTGTTTACCCAGTAATCGTCGTTTCGTATTTCAACACAGATACTTTGGAAAAGAATTTTATTATAAAATCGAGTCTCAATTTCAATCATTTACTGATAAAATATTCACATACACATACTTGATTGTTATTTAATCTCAGTTAATTACGACTGTTTTAACAAATAAATTATCTCTAATTGTTTTATACCTGCTGCTCACTAATTACTCATACAATATCTAAAATAAATAGAAAAATAATTATATTTAATAATAATGCTAAAAGCAGAAAATTAATTTCAAGTTTAATAAGTATTTTAGAAATATAACTTACATGGACTCAAATACCGACTAGTATCAAAATGTTATCACTCGAGAATTTACTCGGTATCTACATCTATTATATTGCTACGGTAGTAATATTATCGATCGGCCATTCTAGATGTATACCTCACACTTATTTGATAGTAAAATTTAAAAACAATTCTACTATAACAAGTCTCTATTTTGATCAAGCCTTGTAGCTATCCATCATCATCACCAGTTCTTTTCTTGCTATTTTAAATATATACAAACTCTACCATAATTTACAATTTTCCAACTCGTTATCGGTGCCACGAGTACTGACACCGCCTCCGCACAATTCACAAACGTTACTGGGTGGCGCGTCACTACAGTCTAACCACGACGTGAGCAAGATATCGACTAAAAGTTGTCAAAGGTAGCCTGTACAATTAGACGTAACATAAACGATGTAAACTCCACTAATTATATTTATCTTGTGATAAACATGTTTTTAATAAATACATCTTTATAAAAATTCAATTTAATTCTCTTCATAATTAATTCATTCTAACGAATAATCTAACTTTTATGATATTTACAGTATATGAAATATGTTTTTTTTTTACATTAAATATTGGAAGTTAATTGCTAAAAAAAAATAGCATGTGAATATAAATAAGTAATGATTAATGGATTTTAAATGATAATAAAGTGTAAATCATGAAATAATTATTAAAATTTTATTCACAAGTTTTTCTTACCAGATCTTATGTTTACATCCATTTTCCCGATTTCTCCATACAGAATTGCTGCAAGCCAAGATAGTGCAACAAGCCAAAATGTTATTAAAACTGCTGCTAGCCATAATGAAATTAATCTTGATTTAGATCTATTACAGCTGCATGAATTAGATGAATGTTTTATTTTAGAAGATCTTGGAGGTCTTCTGGAATGATGAAAGTATTAATAGTAGTAGATATTTATAATTAATATTATTTTTATTATTGGTATTGTGTTGAACAGTGTTGTTAGTAATAATCATTGACTCACCTTTTTACTTTTTTCTTTTTTGGAGCAGGAAAGATTAAATCTGATAAATCACTTTCACTGTCTGAAGGTCGATCCAGTAATTTTATTGTCTCCTTGATATTTTTGCTTTCCATAGTTCCATGTCAAAGTTGAATTCATGTTTCTTTGAAGTTAATTGTAAAAATATTCATTCTCAATTATTATATCTAATATCACAATTTGTTTTATTTAATCATCACATCAAACTGATTGAAAAGGAGAATATTGAACTATTTGTTTACTTTTTTAGTTAATTCTTCAGCCTTTAAATGATTCTGTTTAAAAAATGAATAATATTGTCTTCCAACCTATAAAAAATTTTTTTTTAAATCAGCTTTCATTTAGACATAAAAAATGATTATGACTCCTATTAAATTCACTTACATAATTGTTTTTAAATTATTACTAAACTCAGTAGTTGAGTTAATTCATTCCCATTTTTGTTGGACACAAAAAAATACATATAAGAGTTGATAACGGTTTTTTTGCATTTAAGATCACGGTGCCCTCGAATCAAAGTCAAATTCGGAGAACTATGAGAAGTGGGAAGATAAAGTAAATTACCACTTTGATCAGATAAGTTTTATCATTAGAGAACTACTATACCGACTAAAGGTTTTATTTACCGACTGGAGGTTATTTTACCGACTGAAGGTTATATTTAAAATAAAGCGCGCAACCAGCGGCAAACTTGAATAAAGACTGGGTTCAAGTCAAAAAGTTTCCCAAAGTTGACTTTACGCCTTCGAATTGTGCAGCGAAAGGTCAAAGCTCGAAAAAAAAATCAAGTAATCATTTTTATGCTTGGATCATAAAATCATGGGCATTATTAGGAAAGCCTTGATGAGACGATTCCAAAAAACTAACTGTCACAGTCATTGGAGTTATAGATCTCGAGATATTTGTGGAAAATTGTAATACATGGAAATGTGCATAACTTCTATGCTAATGATGCTACGGGGTTGATCGAGGGCTCATATGATAGATCGGGACCTGAGTAAAAAATTCGATCCCCCCTATAGGATATCCCCGTCAAAAATGCCGTATCTCGCATAGTTTCCGAGTTATGAGCGTTTAAAGGTTTTTCTATGTTTCGATGCAGCATAACTTTGTTTTCTGCTAATTACTCTGGATCTATGAGGCCCACATAGATAATGAGCATATCAATGGATTCGTGAGAATGAGATCTTTCGAATGCACTAACCGAAATCATAATTAGAGCATAATTTATGCTATAAATAGAGCATCTTCCGGTTTTACGCCATTTTAGGAGTGAAATAATTGATTTTTCATATTTTTGACTTGATTCCGCATTTCTACGCATTGAGACGAAGAGAATGAGTGGTCAAACATGAAAATCGGACAACTTTGATTTTTCACCCCCAAAAAATGGCAAGTGGTACCCCTTTCCACTTTTTTTGGCCAAAAAATAAAAGTACTCCAGTTTTGATGATTGAGGGCTCATTCTCTTCGTCTTAATGCGTAGAAATGCGGAATCGGGGCACAGCCCAGGAAAATTCACTTTAACACCCTTAAAAACGGGTTACACTAAATACAAATTACGAATTATCATCCCCTTGACTTTAAACCCTTATAACTCAGGAATGGACGGTCCAATAACTGATTTCAAGGACGTTTTGGAAACGTAAGAATCTAAGCTAAATATGTATATCCATGAAAAACGTTGAAAAAATTTTCTTCACCCTTAAAATCGCTAAAATATAAAAAAAAAACACATTTTTTTGGGAAGTTGCCACATATTTCGGCCATTTTGAGGATGAAATAAATTTTTTTAACATATTTTATGGATATGTACCTTTAGCTTAGATTCTAAAGTTTCTAAATACTTCTTGAAAATCATTATTCGATAATTTCTTCACGAGTTATAGAGGTCCAAAGTCAAAAAGTAGAGAATTTTCGACCCTTATTCCAACTTTGGACCTCTATAACTCGTGAAGAAATTATCGAATAATGATTTTCAAGAAGTATTTAGAAACTTTAGAATCTAAGCTAAAGATACATATCCATAAAATATGTTAAAAAAATTTATTTCACCCTCAAAATGGCCGAAATATGTGGCAACTTCCCAAAAAAATGTGTTTTTTTTTTATATTTTAGCGATTTTAAGGGTGAAGAAAATTTTTTCAACGTTTTTCATGGATATACATATTTAGCTTAGATTCTTACGTTTCCAAAACGTCCTTGAAATCAGTTATTGGACCGTCCATTCCTGAGTTATAAGGGTTTAAAGTCAAGGGGATGATAATTCGTAATTTGTATTTAGTGTAACCCGTTTTTAAGGGTGTTAAAGTGAATTTTCCTGGGCTGTGCCCCGATTCCGCATTTCTACGCATTAAGACGAAGAGAATGAGCCCTCAATCATCAAAACTGGAGTACTTTTATTTTTTGGCCAAAAAAAGGTGGAAAGGGGTACCACTTGCCATTTTTTGGGGGTGAAAAATCAAAGTTGTCCGATTTTCATGTTTGACCACTCATTCTCTTCGTCTCAATGCGTAGAAATGCGGAATCAAGTCAAAAATATGAAAAATCAATTATTTCACTCCTTAAGTGGGGTAAAACCGGAAGTTGCCCGAATTTTAGCATAAATTATGCTCCGATTATGATTTCGGTTAGTGCATTCGAAAGATCTCATTCTCACGAATCCATTGATATGCTCATTATCTATGTGGGCCTCATAGATCCAGAGTAATTAGCAGAAAACAAAGTTATGCTGCATCGAAACATAGAAAAACCTTTAAACGCTCATAACTCGGAAACTATGCGAGATACGGCATTTTTGACGGGGATATCCTATAGGGGGGATCGATTTTTTTACTTAGGTCCAGATCTATCATATGAGCCCTCGATCAACCCCGTAGCATCATTAGCATAGAAGTTATGCACATTTCCATGTATTACAATTTTCCACAAATATCTCGAGATCTATAACTCCAATGACTGTGACAGTTAGTTTTTTGGAATCGTCTCATCAAGGCTTTCCTAATAATGCCCATGATTTTATGATCCAAGCATAAAAATGATTACTTATTTTTTTTAAGGTTGAAAAAGGAAAATTCTACGCTAAAGGTTAAACTCAATTGATTAATATTCTATAGTACGTTTATTCAATTAAAAATTTTTTTTTTCTTAAAAATAAAACATCTTAACATTTATTAAGAAATTAATTACATAAAAACACCTTAATTCGTGATAATTAGCTTCCATCTTATTTCCCAGTATTGAGATCTAATGCTAACAGGATATCTAAAAAATCTACTTGACAACTTCCATGATGTTGGTTGGATTTACAACCATGGATATTATTTAAAGTATACCTCTACATATTAAAATAACCAATTTTATTCCACTTTACATAAAAATAACATTTATAATAATCATCTCAATAATTATCATATATAATATCCATAATTAATAAAAGGAAAAATAGAAATAAAATTGACATTAAGCTGTTATATCATGCCATAGATAATTTTACACAAGAAAATTTATAATCGACACTTGCTTGATGAAACATAAATGAAAAATATAATTAATTATTGTGTGTGCTGTTGTAGATTTAACTTGATATGATCATGTGCATAGTGTTTCATATACAGTAGTAACTCAAAATAGAGTTGTGTTAGTATGTTTTGTTATTTGAATGATGTATTTCAAAAATATACGCTTTTTTTTCTTATAATTTGGCTGAATGACAATTATAAATAAAAAATTCCAAGTAGTTATATCGATAAATTTGACAATTATAAGAGGTATTTGAACAGTCAGTGGCTTATAATGGCATATCATTATAAAATAAAATAAGAAAAAACAACATTCTTCGATCATGATAAACCATTGTAAGTCAAAAGTTCTAGATTTATATATTTTCTCGTATATATATATTTATATATTTATATAATTGATAAAAACTAAATAGTACTGGGGCTTGTACTCCATAAAAACTATGGTAATTCCATTTTCTATTTTCCGAATCTAATGTTTTCTTATTAACATTTAACTAACCGAACGAGGCATAGCTAACTGAACTTTTTTTTCTGCTATATATTATTAGCATATACTTTTAGTATATATACACTTATTGCATTCATACATAGAGAATACAGAAATTAAGCAACAGAATGACAGACAAGAGAAATCTTTCGGTTTCATCAAAAAGTTTTTATATATATATTGTCGAACGAAGATCATTGCGATCAGTTGGCCGAATATGTTAATGTATGACAATGAAATAACTGCATAAATAATTTAACGATCGTTTAATCATTAGTATCAGAATTATTACAGTCATTGTTAGTTATTGAACTTCCATACTTATACTGATTTTCAAGTAAATCAGTTCTTAAAATGTGTACTTTGAATATACTGAATTAAACATACATTTAATAATATTGGGATCACAAATAAAACACATTAGAAATACTATTTAGCTTCTTTATAATATAAGATCATTTTTAAAATTAAAATACTGACAATTTTGATTTCAATTACAACATTGCTTAATTAAAAATAATACCTCTATCAAGTAAAATTTAAATTATTCAAGTAATTTATTTCAATAAACTTATCACATAAATTAACGATAATTGTGAATGAAGATATTATTTTTTTGTTTTTTCTTTGCGATCCCAAAACATTTTTTCCTTACAAAATTACAGATCTTTAAGAACTTTTAATTTTTATTTTTAAATAATGATTTACAAAATTCGTACAGTATGGAACAGTTGCCTATCATGAAACATCATTATGTTGATACAATATCAGGCAACCATGTAAAAGATATTCCATATTAGACGATTTTTTCTTACATGTATCTACAACATACAGATATTCGTCAACATTTTTGTGCTATCAAATTATGTTCTGCAAAATATATGCTTATGTATAACGGTGTGTCAAATTCTTACATTTGGGCAAATACTACTAGACACAACTAAGTTTTTTTTTTAACATGATTTTATTTTTGTTTAATTCTATTATTAGCATACGATATCAGAAAGGCTTTACTGCATTGAATATTTTATAAATTCTCATAATTTTTAAGAAGTTTATCGACAATATTCAATAATATATCAGTTTGGCAATCATTATTTTTTGTACTGATAATACACCTTTTAGCATTTTAAATCTTTGCAACAATTAAGGCTTTTATAACTGTATGTTCGTAATTTCAACTATTATGTTTTGTTATTTTATTTTATTTTTTTTTGTTTTTCAACTTTTAACTATTTATACTGTCAGTTGAAGCGAATTAATTTTTTTTTTTCCTCGAAAGATATAATTTGAAAGCGTAATTAACAATCCTTCTTCTGATAGTAAGAATTATCTACTAGACAATAATAAATACTAATAAATACAAATTAATATTATCAAAATAATTTTTACAATCAGTTAATTACTAAAGAAAATACATACACAAAAAACTAGTGCTTTACTATTACCCTATTTCTTAGATAGATGTGTGTTTAAAATACCTAAAATATTACCCTGCTCAGAAAAATTGTGACATAAAAATAAATAAATTAATTAACTAATAAAATAATAGCTACAACAATAAATCATGAATTCAATATACTTAATTCAGTATTATCAGTTTTCTTTTTTTTTTTTTGTAGGAATATACATCCAAGATAAACAGCTGAATTGCACTTCTGTTCAACCTTATCGATCTGTTTGACTAGATGTTAGGAATTAAAAAATTGTTTAGTTTAGCATCCACATGATATAGAGGGAAATATTGATAGTCACAGCGAATTCCGTATATTATCAAGATGATATTTAATAAGTCATTGCTTCAATAAATAATATGATAAATGTTGAAAATAAAACAGTCCATTATGATAGTTGATTTTTGATTGTTAATAATAGATTTGAATAATAAATGATCAGATGACAAGTTCGTCTGCCTCGAAGCAGATAAATATTGATTACAGATTGTCGATTATGATAATAAGTTGTGAAAAAAAAAAAAAATAATTCGACATTCTCCTGATTTTTCCAAGCAGGGGATGTATATGAATTTATGTCTGAATATGTTTATAGTATCTGATATTAAGTATTTTTTTTTTTGTAAGTACAAATTTCCCGACTACAATATCTTCCCATACTGTTCTTTATCAAAATGCCAATACCTATTAAATCTGTTTATCGTAAAACTAAGCAATTTGAAATTATAAATAAATCTTTAAATTCACTCATCTATTCACGTTATTTCAGGTACATGGTAATCGAGTAAGATCAGTTACTTAAAGATATGAGATCAGTAATGAACTAAAGATTTATCTCAATTCTATCGGGAATATTGTAGTCTATTTATATATGTTGATGATAAAGCAAATGCTACTTTCGTTAATATAAATTGCTGTTTTATAGAGTTAACTAATGTAAGCTGTATTGTTAAAGAAATATACATATATATGTAACAGTTAAAGCATAAAGTTAGAGTAAACCTAATTTAACGGGTCAATGTGCGAAATATCCAAGTCAAAGAACATATACGAGATCCGTTTAAAATTAGGTTTACCTTCACTTTGTGTTTTAACACAAACATATACATTTATTTACATATATATGACAAGCACAAGGTACTCGTTGCCTTTCTGATTATATACATATAAAAATAATATGTATAAATATAATTGAATCAAAAATTATCAGCGTATTTTATAATGTTTTGTTGATAAACATAATAATATAATTTATTTGACTAGAATTTTTCTACTGTATGATTATTTATAATTTCAACTACACTCTAGAAGCGTAAAGCTAATATAATGATAATAATGATAAAAACAATGTAATTTTTATCTAATAACAGCAATTCTACTCATTTAAATAGTTTTATGCAAATAAAATAATGCACAATCGAAAAAAGGCACAAATACTACATACAATGAAAAGTTTAGTATTGCAAATTGTAGAAAAAAAAATTATATAAAGTATTATATGACTCTGTGACAGAGTAAATAGCATCATGGGCTAATAACAGATGTTTTATGACTACTATGGAACAGACATTTCAAACAAGTTCTCATCAAAAATGTTCAATTTTTATTCAGAGCGTAATAACGATTACTTTGTAAAAATTCGTTGATAATTTTTTTTATGATGAAAATTTTTTTGTTAAAAAAAAAAATTACTTCTCTTCTTGTGAATTATTCTGATAAATTTACATATGTAATTAGAAAAAATATTTCTGACTTGATATTCTATTTTATAGATTCCTCTTTTTTATAAGCCCATTTTCTTTATTTATCTTTTCTCACTTAAATGATATTTTTTCTAAGTAAAACGTAAAAATATTAATCGAGCATTAATAATTTCAATAATTACGATACTCAATTTTTGACATTCTGTCATTTTCAATTCTCACTGTTGATTTGCATATGTTTAATTCATTAATAAACCATAAATATGATTATTATATTGTATTATATTGATTGAAAATGACGAAAAAGGTGTTTTTGAATAGTGTCCTGCGTTGAAGTGAATTGATATTTTTTTTTTCAGAATGATTTTTGTATTCAGTTCGTATTATGTTTCAACCTACTGCTTTAAAATTTTTTCTCTCTATCTCATACTATCAAATTGATACTTTTCAGAATCATGATCAATGATTCTGTAAACAACATAAACTAGGGAAATTTCCAAATGGAAAAATGTAGTTATTACGTCACATAGTACTGCTTTTTTTTTCAAGTATGCTACTTTACTCTGGTTTAAGACGATGCCATTGCACAATTGTTTGTCGTGGTTTTGTGATCATATCTTGCCAATGTTTAGTTTCGCTTGCACCACTGCCATTTTTCCCTGAAATAAACACACATTATTATGAACATTTTCTACTCAATTTTACAGCTAAATATATTGATCGTACTAAAACTTTAAGTTTGTGTAGAATAGACTTTTTTTTACTGTTATTCTGTTGATCAAGTTTTATTTTTACCAGTTATTTTCTTTCAAATGTTGAAATAAAATTTTTCTACTTTTAGTGTACTAAATTTTCCAATAGAAATAATCATTACCTGCGAGTTGAATACGTCCAATGAGTTCATTCCGACCAATATTATCAAAATCCATAACCATTACATCCAAAGAACATTCTCTGATTTTTTCCCAGGGTACGTTAAATGAAAATGCTTCATTGAATACTGGGTTTAGAGTACATTTGAAGATTGGGGTCTTTCGTTTTTCGATTCTTTTATCACCAAATTGCAGCCACACTTTCACGTACGGATCTGAAAAATTTATTTGATTAGTAATTTAAAAAAACAAAAACAAAAAATACTAAACTAATCAATGCCCCCTAAAAAAAAAGCTTCACAGTAAAGTTTGGATGTTGAGGTGAGATAACAAACTAAGAGTATTGAACACGAGAGGTAGAGAAAAAATTCAGGATATGTGAAAAAGCAGAGAATTGTGGTGTGTCTTGAAGGAATGTAAAAGAACAAAAGTAGATCGTAGAGATGTCCTAGAAAATAGGAAAGAAAAGAGAGGTGACCTTTTGAAAACTAAAACGAGAAAAGTAGAAAATCCAAGACAGGAGTGATATAAGTGACAGACAGTGGATAAAAATTAGATGTAAAATGACAAAGTCAGAGATATGTGAGTGAATGTGATCTCAATTTTAAGTGATGAACAAACAGAAGAAGAATATATAGCAAATATGATAGAAGAATGAAAACATTCATTTCATAAAGTAAAAATAATATTTATGTAAAAGCTTGAAGTTTTACTTGAATTAAATTAGGTATGCTTTTTCTGATAACATAGAACTAGCACTATCGTGTTATATTATGATTAAATACAGACAAATATTATTTTTAATTGAGAAAACTTCCTATATGTTCAGAAGATAACTTCTCGTTGCTGCCTGGTGTATAAAAAAAACTAATCAATACATGAAGGTTGTAACAATTATGTAAAATAATGTAAAACTTGAAGGGTTGAAAACTACCCAACAGAGAGATTGAACACTCTTTAATCAAGCTGATGTGAATATATTTGAACTTGGAAGACAGTGTGCAGAAATTGAGCTTGTCTGATGTAATCATTTCTGATTGATGACTAGACAAACTTGTTTACGAACAAGTTTGCTATCACCTTGAATTTAAGATGACTGAGAAAGAGGGTTAAAAACTTGCAAATGAACTTAATAAACTTCAAACTCATTGAAAGCACCAGTTAATTTCTCAAGATTGACAGCAACGACTTAGCTAATATAGAGTATTTTTATCTAACATCAAATCAAAGTTACAAATTGTGGTGTTATTGAAAGAAACTCATTGATATATGGACTTTTAGAGTTCACAGAATAGCAAGAATCAGGATGTATTAATGATCATGTGGTCAAGAGTAACGTTTATCCCACAAGTACCGAACAAAAAATGAACGATAAAAACCATTTAGATGAGCAACTCGGTGCACACCATTGACCAATGTTATATAATAAATTCAGTTGGTGTTTACCGAAGAAATAAAATTCTACGGGATATTTTTTATTTCTTCTTTAATTTAAATTATAACATTTGTTTCAGAATAGTCTCATTTATGTTACTCATATAAATTAAAAGATCACAAAAAATTGAAAATGTCTTTTCCGGATTTAACTGGAAATTTTTTTTTCTATTCCACCAAGAGCTTTTATGGCTCATAAAAAATTTACAGATATTTCTCTTTTACGCTTCTTTAATTTTTGTACTTCAACTACTGGAGATAAAAAAAACTCAACTGTATATTTTTTTTCTTGTTTAAATAGTTCAAAAGAAGATATATGATCAATAAAGTATTATTGCTGAGATTTGAAAAAACATTATTGTGATCTTAAAATTAATTGAATATTCAACAGCAATTACTTGTGATTTAATTGGTTCTAGACGATAGAAATGTTAATACTGAATTAATGAACTTGTTATCAATTGATTACTCACCAGATTTTCCATTAATATCTTTCGCTTTGAGATTCCGAGCTTTAAGTAGTGTTATAGTCAGTACAGAATTACTGGGATGATAACAGAGAGAACAAAGAAGCTCTCCGCATTTGTCTTTTGCAGGTGGTTTGAGAGCCTTCCAAAAAGATGGTTTTTCCGAAAGATCAACCTGCAAAATTGACCATAATAAAACAATGTTAAGCTTTTCAGTTGTTAAGCAATAGCAAAGATAATTTGATGAGTTTAAATTAAATTTCTCTAAGAGCAGGAGACTTTTTTTTCTTCTTCATTGTATTAGCTGAATGAACATTAAGTGGCTCTAAAACGAAGTGACTCAAGGATAAAATAAAAGACAAAAAAAAAAAAAATTAACCAACCTGACATAGAGGTAAAAACACTTCTCCAATAGAGTCATCTCTGGAGAATCGGTCATAATCAAAAACATGAAGATGAAGCACACGACTTTGTAATTTTTGAATAGGGAAACCTAAAAAAAAAAAAAAATATTACATAGTGATAAAAATTAATCAGCTTGATTAATAAAAATGAATACAAAGTTTTAAATTGAAAAAGAAACTTTTTCCATTGTCATAACATCACTATGACTTGGAAAAATTATTTCATAAATTTTTAAATTAAAAAATTCGTCAAGAAACATATTTTATGAATAAAAAGCACTAGAATACTCTAGAAGGCTTCTATTCTATCAGAAAAGATATCAAGTTCTTGACTTAAGAACAAAAAATGCAGACTTAGACGTGCTCATCATAGAATTTTCATCCCAGTAGCAATACATTTATAATATGATTCCACCTGGGGTTACAGCTTAGTGTCCGGATCGTGCTAGGACAAAACAATAAGTACCCATCCTCATGGAGCATGAGCAGCTACTATAACATGTCATACACCCGGTAAGTCACGCTAATCCTCTTCAGTCAGCTTTATGAGCGTCAACAGGCTTTCTATTCACATTTATCACCACTTAAAACTTCTTGCTAGGAGCTAATACACGCTTCACGGTTGTATGAAAGTCCTTGATGCAACTATTGGCATGATATAATATTTTGTATGGTCGTGTAGACACTAACCAAGCTTAACTTCTGGCAAGTTACCACTTTTCAACTCTATTTCCTTGGTCTGCTCATCAACAAAATGAATTTGGAGATGCTTGTTGGCAGCAGATTTCCTATTTTGTGATAACTTGCCCTTGCATCCTGACTACAAGCATAAAGTTGTTTTCTATGGCCAGACTTGAAGACAGCCCTTGACTTTGAAGGAAGTTATTTAGGAACAATTGTTCCACTCCAAAACACAAGCTATGAAATAGTCATGTTTGGAATGTACTACACATAAAGCTGTTGAAAAACTTGGCCAAATGGGTGAGCTGCACTTTACCAAGGTTGGAGTATATGACTCTGACAGCATCTTCTTTCTACTTGAATGCATTACTCTGTCAGTAATGCTGGTTTAAGGCGATTCCGTAAAGTTTGTGATATATTGTGTGTAAACAACCGTCAAGGAGTCTCTTCTACGGCTTGCCTGTTTATACATTAATACTACCTAATGGATTTATTTACCTTCAAAGTAGAGAGTTTCGTTCCATCGAGGATTCAACGTTCTCCTCTTGATTTTCGTATCTAGTCTGTGCTTTTTGTCAGGCAATAAAGTCACTCTTACATATGGATCAGATGTACCTGACAAATCCTTTGCTGGCAAATCTTTACCCTAAAAAGTTTAATCAAATGTCAAATTAGTATACTCAGAACAAGTATTGATCCAATATTATATCAAACAGAAAATACATTTCAATTTATTCCCTATTAATATTGAAATGTTGAAATAATTGAGCCAAGTGTTATCACATTGTAACTTCAACATTATATAATACAATGCATTGTACAATATAATAGTATAATAACATTAGACACGGTTTTATAGCAAAGTTAATAGACAATGACTGTACCTGAATAATGCGCAAAATAAGTGTGGTATTTTGATAATCATATTCCAAGCTGAATTGTATTTGTCCAACGTTTTCACTCGGTTCTGTGTTATCAATGTACATATCCACCAGGGAGATGGATCTATTTTGTAAAAATGCTTTCTAAAAAAAAAAAAAAAAAGAAGAAAAATAGTTTTACTCTTTTTCAAACTTAAAACATATCATTTTTTATTTACTCCAACACTTTTAGATCAATTCATCCTAAAATTCTATCAGTTTCTAACTAAAAAAAAACACTACGAAAAATTTATAAATCTAAATTCGTTCAGACATTCTTGTAGATACTCTGCTGACCAATAATTTTTTCCACAGATAATAAAACTTTGACAATATTTCAAAAAAGACTTTATCGATTTTTTAGTTGATAAAAACAGTTGAAAATTAATCCAACCAAAAGAGGTAACCTGGTTTTTTTTAAATAGATATATACATACTGAAGGATGTTCTCCTCCTTTAGCATTTTGTTGTTGTTTATTTTGTGCATTAGCAGTTGGCGTTCGAGGCTCATTATTGCCACTTGCTCCACAACTGACCGAGGGGCTCATTCCAGGGACAGCACCAGTTGCAGTACTAGTGCTAACTGCTGTGCTAGCAGCTGAGCTACTATTTCCTGGAGCCGGTGACTTCGTACCAGGATTTCCTGTAGTTCTGCAACAAAAAAGCATATCACATTATCCATCAAATTATCACTATGTTTTTTTTTTTTCAGAGATCACATTGTTATGTTGATAAAATATTGTAATTTATTCATCTTCTATGAATAATATATATAAATAATCAAACAATATGGTGTACAGCATTTTATTGAAAATAGTAAAATTACTCGTACATGTAAACCAATTTCAACAATACTTTGATAAATATGCATAAACCACTGCATATTTGATACTCAATGAATACATGAACTGAAAAGTTTATTCATGTCAATGTGTTACAAATTGGAAGAAAAACGAGCAGTAACAGAGAATACAGAGTAAAGATCAAACTGTGGGCGTATTTGATAAATGATTCTATCATGTTATGAAATAGTTATATTTACAGAATTTTTTAATTTAAAATTCTTCATCCACCTACAACGTTCTTGAGAACTCGTGCAAAACGTGCAATCCATGCAATGTAATATTTCTCAAAATAATATTGTCATCCCTTGCAAATCTAGATTGCAACTAATAACTTTTAGATAAAAATATAATTAAATGTTCTATCTTTACTTGATGAATGAATTAATATATATATATATTTACTGCGCCTCATGTGATGTAAATTTGTTCAAAAGTATACTTTGTTCAGCATAAGTCATAAGTTTGAATGAGTGCAGCAAATGTAATGACAATTGTACAATCTGAAGTAACAATAATATATGTATGTCATAACAATAGCAACGATAGTTACATTAAACTTAAAGAAAATGTTTACCAGTATATGTTAATGTAAATCATTGACATTGACAAGTTGAATAGAATAAGCATAAGTGCAAGAGATTTTTTATTATATTATATTTAAATATAATGGTATATATATATATAGATATATATGTATATATATAGGTATAGTATGTAGTAAACATAGAGTAATTAAATTACGCTCGCAATTAAACCTGTGCCGAGTACTTACTCCAACTGTGCTCTGCATATTCCCGAAGAATGTAGCGAGAGCCATGAAACAGAAAAATTCATGTAGATGACAGAATTAGTTGCTGAAGCAAGTCCGTAAGCAGTTAAAAATTTTTATAGATTGGTTTCTTTAATTGGATATACACGACCAAGACCACACGAGTCTCTTTAATAAAAGTTTTTCTAACTGATGAAAAAGTTGGAGAATATTGTTATAGCTCTATTCTTTGACCTAAATGATTTAACATTTATTTTAGACCATTTTACACAAGTTTCATACTGATATTATGAATCTTTCTACTGAACTATTGTATTATTTATTACGCTCAAGAAGTCTGCTTAATTCAACATTTTGTTAGAATAAATTTAAAGTCTTCATTATTTTTCCTTTCATATGAGTATTTTACAATTTATGAGCTTCTTTTGTAAAACTACGAAGTCATGTTTTTTAACATGAGAACTTGTAGAACATTACAATTTATATTTTTATTAAATTTTATTCTTGAAATTAGAAGAATAAATGCTAGAAGAATTAATTCAAAGATAGTTGATTAATGATTGGATTTTTTTTTTAATATTTAAGACTAGGAATATTAATCTTAGTTATTTTTTTAGGTATTTAAATTGAAGATCCCAAGAATATCATTTAATTAAACCATCAATCAGGTTCACCTTGTTTCTTCTCCAATGCCATCATCCTACCAACAATGAACCTACAACCTACATGAAGGATATGATCCATGAATGAATCCCTTTTACACACCATTTAGCTAATTAACTTGCTAATACTTTTGATAAAACTTTCTTATCTACCGCATTCTTGACATCTTCCAGACAATTAACAATCCAGCAACTAATTAACAGTTTGTGTTCAGGTGATGAAGATAATCACTTGGCTGTTCTCAACACATTGCCATAGTGTTCATCTTCATTGTTAACATGTGATTCGCACAGTTACGCAACTTTGCACGGAGAACAATAAGGGTTTAGGGTTGCCACTGTTCAAACAGCTATACACCTTGAGGAAATCGATGGATTGAAATTGTCCATCACCTGTTGATCTTATTCACTTCTAAACTTTGGTTAACAATGTTAAGGAGTACTTGTCGATGATCTTTTTAGCACAAGATTTAAACTAAAGCCCTTGACATTTTCCCTGTTTCAGCGAAATGGTAATGTTGTAATAAAGAATCACCTATATACCAAGAGCCAGCATCAGCACCAACTCCCATTACACTTGTAGCTCTTTGCCCATTCTGATAATCCTAACTTGGCAAGCATCCTATCATATACAAACCACACTAGTTAATAAGTTTTTTGTTGGCAACCACCTTTCTATGCATTCCATCATGTGGAAATTAAAGTTTCATAGTGGATTTGTGGAGTGTTATAATCCAATAATTGAAAAGGAATTAAAATAAATTGCTATTGTGTTTTGATGGTTTTATTTAGAGAAGATTGTGCATTGAATATGCTATTATTCTGATTTTTTTTTTATTGATCATTTTTAGTTTTTCAAAGCACTTCAATTGGTTTTATTTGTCATTTTTAAATGCATTTGAGGTCTATTCAGAACAGTGGTTATACTACTTCCAATTTTGTTTGATTATAACGTATCATGTTATAATGTTCTTCAATTTTTTATAAGTATAATTTCCGGTTAACCGTTTCTGTTATTCAATTCAATGGTTTGTTAATTTTCTATTTGAAATCAGATCTTTCCCAATATTTTTCAAACTTTCAAAAGAGTCACATTAATAAACTGAATGTAGTTTTAGCTAAATGTTTTTATATCAATTAAAAATGCACAAGTAGAATAACTTGTGAGCACAAAAGAACCATTTGAATTTCATTGATTGAGTTTTTAGAGGTAAATAAGTCTAGAAGATAAAATTGAATAAAGCTTTTATATATAATTGAGTTGGAATATAATAAGAGGAAAATAAATTTTGATAACTTGGATAATGAAATTCTCTTCAAAAACCTGTTATTTCATTTCATTATAATATTTTATATCAAAAGGATAAATAATTAATAGTTGAAGTAATAATTAAAAATATTTTTAAAATTATTACACACTAAACTTGAATGTAATATGGAATCTCTAGAACCATCAATCGATCTTTTAGCTATTAAGAACGGCACTTTGTGATAACGATTCCCATCAAAGTAATTATCAATATCTCGAGAATAATCCAACACACAATTGCGATGGTGATGAGGTTAAATACGTGCTAGGTGGTTTATCTCAGAGATGATTATTTGCTCTGGATAATGCCAGCCAAGAGTTTCCTCGCCTCAATCGACATCAAACAAACGCCATCATAATACGTCCCACTTTCCAACAAAGTTCCTGCACTTGTGGGACATTTTGGTTCAGCATATTAATACTGACATTCGACAAGTATGATTTGTAGAGTGAATGCTATGAGATAACCATTACTATGATATAAATTCATTATAAACTATGAATTCAAAAACTTTCATACTCTAGGTTCGCTGGATGTTAAGTTGTAGAAGTTGAATGTAGCACAGAACTAGGTCTTCATGAGCAGCTTACACTATTAATATCCATAACAATAATTGTTTTGTTCTTCAATTAAATGATATAATTATTTAAAACCATCTTAGCATATCATGTACATTGACATTTGCATTATTTCAGCTGTCAGATTTTTTGGCTTTGCAGCAAATTTTAAAGTGATTTGTTAAAATCAATTCTTAGCTTGTTCAGCGAATCAAGTGATGGATAACATCACTCAATGTTTGACAGAAAATATCTTGCATGAGTAACATCAAGAGAAGGATATTGCTTTACCTTTAAATAAATTTATTGAATAATTTCTCCATTTTGTTTTTTATAATAAATCTTTTTCTATTAAAAATTTCTTTTTAAAAAATGTCATCTAGATTTGAATTTAAGATAATTCTTCTTCAAAATCATTCTTTTGTGCTACAAAATCCTTCTCTCTATGTGAATATTAAAACTTTTTGTAATGTGAATAAAACTTTGCCAATTCTTACCTTGTGCTGTAATATTCAAAAAAAGCAACAAGTATTTCTAATGATCTTGTAACAGCTGCCCACATAATTTAACTTATTTTTAATTAATATCACTTTAGAAAAGTCTTCTGTTCAATCAAAAAACAAATAACATCACAATTAGGTTTCAAACTATCATGATTGATGTTGATAATAATAAAACCAACCTATTTCTGTTTTTTTTTACACTATTTATCAGTTAATAACTTTCTGAAATGAATAATTATCATTTTTTTTTTGCCTCAGTCATACATTTTTATTCTTTAAAAGACTCTAAAAATGTCAAAGCAAATAAATGAACCTTCAAAAGCTAGGGCACTCTCTTTCAAGCTGATTTAGCACATTTTTAATGATCTTCGTTTTTGCTGTATGTTATTCACTAAAGTGTGATCGTAGATTTTACAAATTTTTTATCACCTTTTGAAATCTGTCTGTCGGTAGAATGAGGGAAAATGTGAAGCAATTTCCATTATGATGGTCTTTCATCATCTTCTTTTGAATACTGTTTTTTTCTTTTAATATTTTCATACATTTCATTTCTTAACGAGACATGCTGTTATGTATTTTGTAATTAAAATCTTTTCATAAACTTACTTTAATTTCATTTTATTTAATTAAATTCAAAAATGTCTATGTTTGGTAATTGATTTTTTTTGAGATTATTTAATGATTTCCACTTATCTGTTCAATATTTGGTGCCTTTTGTTCAATAAATACCAATCATTTCTATAAAAATATATTGTCTTTAATATTTGAATATTTCTAGAAACAATTTCTATGCCTTTTTATTCATTGAAAAATTCCAATTTTTAAAATTAAATTTAAAATTGTTGAGTTTTGGGTATTGTTCTTCATGATCTTTCAATTCCCTTGGGTACAATGTGTTCAATATGCTTCAATAATGCTATTCAAAGCCTCAAATAGATTCAATTATTGGACACAGTATTTCTTTAACCTACTAAACTGATTGTATCAATCATTTTCGTAATAGTTATTGTGTTAAACTTTTTAAAACGATTTATAGATTTTTTCTTTACAACTCACTGAATTCTATAAGAGGATAAAAAATTAATAAAATTGAAAATTTGATAGGAAAAAAAAAAAAATACTTTGACATTCTTTAAAGTATCTTGAAAACTGAATATTTCATAAAGAATTGATAGAAAATCTTTTTTAATCAAATACGACAACTTTTACAAGGAAACCTCTATAAAAAGGCTCCTGATGTTTCTTTACCGGAAATTAAATAAAATGTTTTATTCATGTACAAATTTACTAAAGGTTATATTCATTCTATATAACTTTGATTAATTTCACACACTTCTGCTGACGAGGGAAAACAACTAACTAATAGTCAAATTTAATCAATACATGGACAGACTAATAATTTACCCTTGTAGCTAATAGAGTTGAGAAGTAATGAAAAACATCAAACAAAGAAAAATTAATTGTTTAACACTTGTAAGAATTACGATATGTTCAAGTCGTTTATCTTTATTGGTGATTCTAACAAAAAATAAATAGAAATAAATGAAATTAAATTATTAAGATTGGTTGTGTGATAATATCAATAGAAAGCAGAGTTATGAAAATTAGAAAAAAAACTTAATCGATATTTAATTTAAAATTTAATAATATTTCATGATTAGATATTGAGATAAATTTTTGCTATACAAAAAAATGTTGATTTAATCAATAAAATAATTTTTAATTTGATATTTGGTTCGAGATTATAACAAATTTATATGCAAGTCACATTAGATAATTTTATTCAAATAATCGAGCACAATAAAAATATATTTTTTAAATATGTATTTAATTAATTTTCCATTAGAAAGTTATTGTGATGGGGTTGATTTTGAAAATTCATAATTTTGTCATTTCTTTATGTTTTGAGAATTTGAAAGCATATTTTATTTTAAAAATATACTAAAATATAATTATTCGGCCATAAAAAAAATTTATAATTAT